GTGAGTGATTGGATCATCAGCTGATTTCGGTATGTTCTCCCACATCGGCTGATAGACCCGTGAAGATCCGGAGGAATAGGTCTTCAGCAACCCATGCTTGCCGTATCAGGCGACTATGTTTGTCCTAAGAGGCGACTAACGGGATCGGGTGGTCAGGGTCGCTGACTTGGTTGATGCATGTCATCGTATCCCAATTGCGTGGATCGATGCTCACCATATCAATCACTGGATTGTCTGGTCCAGGCTGGATTACTTACAGACCGCCGTCATATAGCTGGAATGTTGCTGAATGCGGCGTTAAACAAGAAACAAAATCACATCGGAATGATGGTTACACACAGTACAAGGATGGTTTCATACTTCCAGTGGATACAATTTACATGCTTTTCAAGGATTGTACTGAGATTTCATTAAAATAATTACAGAGGAATAAACGTTCCACACTTTAAATGGAGTGAGTGAGTATGGTATTACGCCGCTTTCAGCAATATTCTAGCGAGGGACACCAGATATGTGCCACCGCCCAACTTTAACAGGAAAATGCTGAGGTTGAATAACAAAGGACACAAAGCTAGACCCTTCCTCTCAAGTGATTACAGAGGAATAAAGGCCTGTAAATAACGAGTCGAGGTCAGACAAAACAGTGATTGACATTGAGAGCAACGATCCATGCTTTCCGGATACGATGACACGCAAATAACCAAGTCTCCGAGCCTGTCCTCTCCATCCATTTGGTCTCCTCTCACGACGGGCGGCGTTAAACAACAAACAAACAAACAAAACATAGGCTAACACGTCGTGACATAACTGAAATATTGTTCAAAGCGCTGTTTAACACAACTCACTCGCCCTGTCTGGATAAGTCTAGACAAAGCAGTTACTGAAGGCATATGTAACTTTATCGGAAATAAACCTTTTCAAGGACATCTGTTTATTACATGCCCGTGAAGAGATCACCTGTTTAATACACATACAGCTGCATTGCACATTGTGTAATACCAAAGTGCGTTCTTATGTACTGCGAGAACAAGTTAAACTTAGAAACATTGAAAGCTCTCAGCATCCCTTGGCTTATTCAACGGTATTGCGTAAGGAGATGAAAGATCACTGAGAGGGGCTTATGCACACTCAATAACCCTAGCAACCCGGTTGCTAGGCTGACGTCACATGACATTGTTTCGCCGGTGGATCTTGCAACAAAATTCCACGAATCACGTCGTACAGTATTGAGACGTGTTGTAAACTTTGTGGTATAGGTCCCGTTCCACAAGGCGATCGTATTGTAGCGCAACTACAGTCATATGTTTCTGTTAAAGTATGTGAGTTACGATAACCTTAGAGCTACAATAACGTTGTGTAATTGACGCCTGAATCCTAAAGATGTTCCGTTGTATGGTATTAAATTAATATGTGTCAACGTTTAACGTGTTTGAAGCATTATTCTGTTACACACAATTGGACTACGTTGCTGATCGTGTAGGTGTCTGTCTATTCATACCCGACATACCCCGAAAGTTATTAATGGCAAGTAATAAATAAAATACTAAACTCGCTGCCGTGTAATACCAATTTTATGAAACCCTTTCATAAAGTTGGTATTACACGGGAGCTCGTGTAGTGTTCTATATATACATTAACGTATGACGGGTGTGATTCACGTGAAGTATGAATGTTAAAAGGTATGTGTACCTGTTGTATTTCATCAAATATCCAGAAAGACTGGAACAGGATTTTCTTCGTCTTGGAAACTATGAAATGATGTGAGGCGAGTAACGATTTAGTGTAGTGGTAGAAGCGTTGGCTCGTTATACAAAAGGCTAGGGTTAGACCTGCCACATGGCTAGATGAGTGAACCCCATCGTAGTGTCCCCCGCTGTGATAATGCTGAGATTTTGCTAAAAGCCCAATTCGCTCAATCATCATGACAAAGCAGTAGGAAATTGCAAGGAATGCAAGTTCTGGAGAGAGGCTGAACATCTAACTGATTCCACGTCTTCTCGTATCCACGTCAAGAGGAGCTAAACACTTCATTCCAGTTTCAGCTGATTTCTGAAACTAATCTTAATTGTTTTTTGTTTCTTTTAAATATCATATTAAAACGCCTACCCACACCATGTAAAGTGACTTTCTGCAGGGACGGAAAACTAAGCAATGGTCACATAGTGTGAGCATATACGAATGCCCTGTAGTCACACACAACCTGCTAGGCCACATCAACAGTAGACTGCAACCAGTCTGTTTCCATAAGAATTCCATATTTGAGGTAAATTTTGTGTGGTCATATTTGGCCAAACCACAACCAAAAATAAGATCTATGGCCCCTATTCTCCATAACGATCTGACAAACCCTCAGTAGGAGGTCCCGTCAGATGTACCTTCTAATTATCATTGAGGCTTCTTAGTGTAAAGCCTCGGCAGTTCTGAATCTACATGAATTAACATGAAGATACAAACAAAAAAACGTGGCTTAAATCCCAACTCACTATAATTTGTGAACATGTGAATTGTACAAAGATTCAGGCACATTATGTAGTGCAGGTAAAGGAGAGGATATCAGGCTATCTTGTACAACAGCTGTTTATACCGACACGACGATTGGGTAACACATGTGACTGACACATAAAATATGGGCGTTCTCTGAAGCAAGACAATGGCAGTCACCTTCCTGTTCACCTTGCTGCTCACCTTGCAGCACCTAACTGATCGTTGGCGTTTGACAGGTAACAGTGCCGAATCAGAATGCAGGAATTACAATGAAAACAACGAAAATATAACTTGTTAAAATTGAAAGAATCACTTTTGTGAGATATAATGCCAAGGTACTTATATTCATCAACATGCTCTCCTGCTTTGTCAATGAATGGGTGAATTGTAAACATAGTAAACATAGTAAACAAAGTAAACATCCCACACTTACTGAAAAGACCAAACCCGCCGGAACACACAATGTATTTCTATTGTATTATATCTATTTTGAGCTTATTTGGTCCATAGGCAAGATATATTGAACCAATAAGAAACATGTGATTTTATGGGGCCATTACGCCGTCAGCGCTTGGTGGGTCATGGCAATACACTCTAAATAAATCAGGTTAAAATCTAAATCTAAACCATTTAAAAGAAGTTAAAGGACGCCCGATTCTTTCATATGACTATGGTTAATCAGTGATGCGAAACACAGTAATATAACTGTGGGTGTTCTTTAACTTGTTTTCAGTAGTATATGATACAGTGTGAATGCTATAATACTGCAGTCCGTAAATATTATTTTTGACATTTGTTTAAGATCAACTTTCATTATATGTCTCTTGTCTTGTACACATCTACATATATATGTATTTGCATATCGTAATTTGATAAACACTGCTGTGAGTGAGTGAGTATGGTTTTACGCCGCTTTTGGCAATATTCCTGAGATATGACGGCTTTAACCACTAGGTTACCTTACCGCCCCATCGCTATGACAATGATGTTATCACAGTTGATATAAGTACTTGGGTAAACTACACATATGGAGAGACATCCTAATTAGTGTGGCCACACAGTAAACGTTGGTGACAATATGAAGTACATTACTATGATTATCTATAACACATGTTTAATCACCTGCCATTCTAATATTTTGTATGTATTGTAAGTATAGTTTTGTCAAATGTATGTAAGTAGGTGGGTGTATGTGTTGTCTGACTGTCTCCCTCTGTCAAGCTGTATGTTTGTATGTATACATGTATGAATGTGTGTGTGTCCGTCTTTCTGTATATCTGTCTGAACAACTGTCAGTCTGTGTACATATGTGGTAGAAATTTACCTAACTCACACCAGAACGCTCAATTGATAACAGCCAGACAGTTTCCTAGATAGAGAAATGTTACATACAAAATGTCTGGCTGATTCACTAGTGCAGATAATAGAGGTCATTAGTGTATCTTGTGCCTTGTAGACTATTTAAACCGACAAATTAATCGTGACTGGATGTTTAGAATAATCCGAGCTTTCAGAGTGTGGTTGTTTTTTAAAACAAGACAATGGTAATCACCGGAGTGTTCACCTTGCTGTTCGCCTTGCAACACCTAAACGCCCAACCTGTCGTCGACGCCCCATGGGGTGCAGTTGAGGGGACCACGAACGTCACAGAAGACTGGACACCTTACCATGCATTCCTTGGAATCCCCTACGCGGTTCCTCCTACAGGGGACAGACGGTTCAAGCGACCACAGCCACATCCAGGATTTAACCACACCTTCAAAGCCAACTCATATGGTCCATCGTGCCTTCAGACTCTCCAGTTCTATGCTAATGATGGTGTTACTGGGGACGAGGATTGCTTAACGTTGAATGTATTCACTCCAGCATCACTTACGGAAACCAAAAACAATCCTGTAATTGTTTGGATACATGGAGGGGGATTTATTGCGGGGGATGCTTTCACCTATGACCCTTCATTGATCGTTGCCCATGGACAGGTAATAGTGGTGACCATCCAATATCGTCTGGGACCGCTCGGGTTCCTCAGTACAAACGATGACGTGTCAAGGGGAAACTATGGTCTCTGGGACCAACATCTTGCTCTGGAATGGGTCAAGAAAAACATTGCATCTTTTGGCGGGGATATCAACAGTATTACCATCATGGGAGAATCAGCAGGGTCCGCCAGCGTGGCATTCCAGGCCTTGTACCCAGGGTCCAAGGGTTTGTTCCAGAGGACAATCATGCAGAGCGGGTCTGTCTCGTCCGCATGGGCTTATACACGGAACTCTCTGAAATATGCAAGAGAACTGGCCCATAAGGTAAACTGTTCCCCTCAGAACGATACCGCATCAATGATCACCTGTCTGAGGACGATCCCTGCCAAGACGTTGACTGCAGCATCGTGACCAATGGGAAATGAACCTGTCACAGCTTTAGGCGAGTTATATTTTGTACCTACTATTGATGGTGAGTTTGTCAAAGACAATCCACTGGTTCTAATAAATACTCCAAGTTACCTGGAACAGGTAGAACTTCAAAATCTTGACTGCATGGTGTCAGTTGTAAGCAATGAAGGGGACATGTTTAATATCCTTTCACGAGCAGCTGATAAAGAGTTCAACACGTCCTTATCCTCATCGGTTCAGAACAAGGGATTCTACATAAACACCTTCATCCCAGAGATTCTGGAGCTTTATTTCGGTGCATCGTCTCCTGACATGACACAGGCTGTGGCTAAGGTGTATCTGCCGCCTCACAGTCCTACCGTTGATCTCCAGGCAGTAATGAACACTCTTGGTGATGCTGGGATGGTCGTCCCCGTGACGCTCTTTGCGAGGGCTCATGCAAAGCTGACAAGACACTTGAAGACAGGAATGAAGACCTACATGTATGTGTTTGACCACATCCCATCTTTTATTCCTGGCCATGGCAAGGGGATGAATCATGGTGAAGACCTTACTTACACTTTCGGTCTCAACAAAGCCTTCATGGCTGCAGTGGCGAAACAGTTCCCAAATTCTACAACTGTGCCAGACCAATCCGAAAAGGAGCTCTCACATACATTGATGGGACTGCTAACAGATTTCGCAAGATATGGGTAGGTTTGTCTTTATGAGAAAGATTGCAGGAATGTGACACATTCAAACTCAAACTGGTAGGAAAAGAGTGAGAAATATATTGCTTGTTTGTTTGTGTGTTATTTAACACTGCAGTCAGCAATTTTTAAACCTGGTCATTATCGAGTCGGACCAGAACCGATTCAGGGCCATTGGTCCCCTTGGAAGGGATCCCAGACTCGGGTTAATGGGCAGTCGCAGCAACTCAGATTGAAGTTATGCAAACATTTAGTTTGTCTGCCATCTTAAATCTTCTGATATGGTCAGTCTCGCAGTCAGATGTTTCCACGAGAAAATGTTCCAATTTCCCTCATGGTGGGCATGACAACGTTTTGGCCTCGTTTTGGCACCAGGGGCCCATTTCACAAACAGAACTTAATACCCAGATCATAACACCCACTCTTTGACCCTGACTTACGACAGTCATGGTGCTAAATTCGCTCCATGGAACGAGGTCCATGGCGTCAAACATTTTGTATATAATCATGTCTGGACCAGACAATACAGTGGTCGATATTGTGAGCAACAATCCATGCCATTGTGGTACATGCAGTCGATCCAGTTTGTCGCCTCTAATGAGAAGCCCACGGTGCTGAGGACCTGTTCTACCCCGGAATGCCCAGTAATGGGCAGGGGGTAGGGTGTGTAACATTGCCCCATCGTGGGAGTAAACCCCACTTGACCAAAGTTGCAGGCATAAGTCAATGTGGGGATATTGAGCGACAAAGGATTACAATTAAAACGAGATTTGTGAGAAGAGAATTGTTGGCCCTTGACAACCTGAAAAACCATGTCTCCCAACTTTGCAATAATGGGTTTATTGTAAACAAGGTAAACATCCTATTCTTACTGAATAGGGCAAACCCTCCGGAACACATAATGTATTTTTATTACATTGTTTCTATTTCAAGCTCATTTGGTCCATTGGCAAGATGCATTTGACAAATAAGAAGCATGGGATTTGAGATGTATTTTCCTGAAAACTAATTATAGAAATAATTCGAACTCATACATTTAACAAGTGACCTGCTAACTTTTGAGGCCTATTTCTACATTTCAGTGACCCCAACAACGCTGTACGGTTTGGCCTGAACCAGACTTGGCCTGCGTTCGCGGAGCCAGGGGAACACTATCTACTGCTGAACACCACCATGTCCGTGCAGTCCAGCCCCTTCAAGGACAGGGTTAAGTTATGGGCGCAAAAACTGCCGCGTCTCCTCCATGCCTTGCAGAACCAGCATCACACCACAAACCCCAACCCTCAGATTATCGGGTAGCTGTGCAACGACTGCAAGAAGCTGAGTTGTCGAATTAAAAAATGGGAATTGTCTTGTGTTGAAATGTGTGACTGAATGTTTAACAGTGTGATTTAGTGAGTGATTGGATCATCAGCTGATTTCGGTATGTTCTCCCACATCGGCTGATAGACCCGTGAAGATCCGGAGGAATAGGTCTTCAGCAACCCATGCTTGCCGTATCAGGCGACTATGTTTGTCCTAAGAGGCGACTAACGGGATCGGGTGGTCAGGGTCGCTGACTTGGTTGATGCATGTCATCGTATCCCAATTGCGTGGATCGATGCTCACCATATCAATCACTGGATTGTCTGGTCCAGGCTGGATTACTTACAGACCGCCGTCATATAGCTGGAATGTTGCTGAATGCGGCGTTAAACAAGAAACAAAATCACATCGGAATGATGGTTACACACAGTACAAGGATGGTTTCATACTTCCAGTGGATACAATTTACATGCTTTTCAAGGATTGTACTGAGATTTCATTAAAATAATTACAGAGGAATAAACGTTCCACACTTTAAATGGAGTGAGTGAGTATGGTATTACGCCGCTTTCAGCAATATTCTAGCGAGGGACACCAGATATGTGCCACCGCCCAACTTTAACAGGAAAATGCTGAGGTTGAATAACAAAGGACACAAAGCTAGACCCTTCCTCTCAAGTGATTACAGAGGAATAAAGGCCTGTAAATAACGAGTCGAGGTCAGACAAAACAGTGATTGACATTGAGAGCAACGATCCATGCTTTCCGGATACGATGACACGCAAATAACCAAGTCTCCGAGCCTGTCCTCTCCATCCATTTGGTCTCCTCTCACGACGGGCGGCGTTAAACAACAAACAAACAAACAAAACATAGGCTAACACGTCGTGACATAACTGAAATATTGTTCAAAGCGCTGTTTAACACAACTCACTCGCCCTGTCTGGATAAGTCTAGACAAAGCAGTTACTGAAGGCATATGTAACTTTATCGGAAATAAACCTTTTCAAGGACATCTGTTTATTACATGCCCGTGAAGAGATCACCTGTTTAATACACATACAGCTGCATTGCACATTGTGTAATACCAAAGTGCGTTCTTATGTACTGCGAGAACAAGTTAAACTTAGAAACATTGAAAGCTCTCAGCATCCCTTGGCTTATTCAACGGTATTGCGTAAGGAGATGAAAGATCACTGAGAGGGGCTTATGCACACTCAATAACCCTAGCAACCCGGTTGCTAGGCTGACGTCACATGACATTGTTTCGCCGGTGGATCTTGCAACAAAATTCCACGAATCACGTCGTACAGTATTGAGACGTGTTGTAAACTTTGTGGTATAGGTCCCGTTCCACAAGGCGATCGTATTGTAGCGCAACTACAGTCATATGTTTCTGTTAAAGTATGTGAGTTACGATAACCTTAGAGCTACAATAACGTTGTGTAATTGACGCCTGAATCCTAAAGATGTTCCGTTGTATGGTATTAAATTAATATGTGTCAACGTTTAACGTGTTTGAAGCATTATTCTGTTACACACAATTGGACTACGTTGCTGATCGTGTAGGTGTCTGTCTATTCATACCCGACATACCCCGAAAGTTATTAATGGCAAGTAATAAATAAAATACTAAACTCGCTGCCGTGTAATACCAATTTTATGAAACCCTTTCATAAAGTTGGTATTACACGGGAGCTCGTGTAGTGTTCTATATATACATTAACGTATGACGGGTGTGATTCACGTGAAGTATGAATGTTAAAAGGTATGTGTACCTGTTGTATTTCATCAAATATCCAGAAAGACTGGAACAGGATTTTCTTCGTCTTGGAAACTATGAAATGATGTGAGGCGAGTAACGATTTAGTGTAGTGGTAGAAGCGTTGGCTCGTTATACAAAAGGCTAGGGTTAGACCTGCCACATGGCTAGATGAGTGAACCCCATCGTAGTGTCCCCCGCTGTGATAATGCTGAGATTTTGCTAAAAGCCCAATTCGCTCAATCATCATGACAAAGCAGTAGGAAATTGCAAGGAATGCAAGTTCTGGAGAGAGGCTGAACATCTAACTGATTCCACGTCTTCTCGTATCCACGTCAAGAGGAGCTAAACACTTCATTCCAGTTTCAGCTGATTTCTGAAACTAATCTTAATTGTTTTTTGTTTCTTTTAAATATCATATTAAAACGCCTACCCACACCATGTAAAGTGACTTTCTGCAGGGACGGAAAACTAAGCAATGGTCACATAGTGTGAGCATATACGAATGCCCTGTAGTCACACACAACCTGCTAGGCCACATCAACAGTAGACTGCAACCAGTCTGTTTCCATAAGAATTCCATATTTGAGGTAAATTTTGTGTGGTCATATTTGGCCAAACCACAACCAAAAATAAGATCTATGGCCCCTATTCTCCATAACGATCTGACAAACCCTCAGTAGGAGGTCCCGTCAGATGTACCTTCTAATTATCATTGAGGCTTCTTAGTGTAAAGCCTCGGCAGTTCTGAATCTACATGAATTAACATGAAGATACAAACAAAAAACGTGGCTTAAATCCCAACTCACTATAATTTGTGAACATGTGAATTGTACAAAGATTCAGGCACATTATGTAGTGCAGGTAAAGGAGAGGATATCAGGCTATCTTGTACAACAGCTGTTTATACCGACACGACGATTGGGTAACACATGTGACTGACACATAAAATATGGGCGTTCTCTGAAGCAAGACAATGGCAGTCACCTTCCTGTTCACCTTGCTGCTCACCTTGCAGCACCTAACTGATCGTTGGCGTTTGACAGGTAACAGTGCCGAATCAGAATGCAGGAATTACAATGAAAACAACGAAAATATAACTTGTTAAAATTGAAAGAATCACTTTTGTGAGATATAATGCCAAGGTACTTATATTCATCAACATGCTCTCCTGCTTTGTCAATGAATGGGTGAATTGTAAACATAGTAAACATAGTAAACAAAGTAAACATCCCACACTTACTGAAAAGACCAAACCCGCCGGAACACACAATGTATTTCTATTGTATTATATCTATTTTGAGCTTATTTGGTCCATAGGCAAGATATATTGAACCAATAAGAAACATGTGATTTTATGGGGCCATTACGCCGTCAGCGCTTGGTGGGTCATGGCAATACACTCTAAATAAATCAGGTTAAAATCTAAATCTAAACCATTTAAAAGAAGTTAAAGGACGCCCGATTCTTTCATATGACTATGGTTAATCAGTGATGCGAAACACAGTAATATAACTGTGGGTGTTCTTTAACTTGTTTTCAGTAGTATATGATACAGTGTGAATGCTATAATACTGCAGTCCGTAAATATTATTTTTGACATTTGTTTAAGATCAACTTTCATTATATGTCTCTTGTCTTGTACACATCTACATATATATGTATTTGCATATCGTAATTTGATAAACACTGCTGTGAGTGAGTGAGTATGGTTTTACGCCGCTTTTGGCAATATTCCTGAGATATGACGGCTTTAACCACTAGGTTACCTTACCGCCCCATCGCTATGACAATGATGTTATCACAGTTGATATATGTACTTGGGTAAACTACACATATGGAGAGACATCCTAATTAGTGTGGCCACACAGTAAACGTTGGTGACAATATGAAGTAGATTACCATGATTATCTATAACACATGTTTAATCACCTGCCATTCTAATATTTTGTATGTATTTTAATTTTTAAGTATAGTTTTGTCAAATGAATGTAAGTTTGTGGGTGTATGTGTTGTCTGACTGTCTCCCTCTGTCAAGCTGTATGTTTGTATGTATACATGTATGAATGTGTGTGTGTCCGTTTTTCTGTATATCTGTCTGACCAACTGTCAGTCTGTGTACATATGTGGTAGACATTTACATAACTCACATCAGAACGCTCAATTGATAACGGCCAGTTTTTAACAGTTTTCTAGACAGAGAAGTCTTACATACGAATTGGAATATTCCTGCTTGAACAAAGAGCCTATACTATAATCGGATATCTATAGTCTCACCAGGCAGGAAAGCCGACTAAGCGTCAGTTGAACTCTATTTTACCAATACATTAGCATTGAATGGAATTTGCGGTAGGGATGTTGGGCATAAAACTTGTAACTCCCCAAAAAGGGGCAAAAATAAATTTTGCAAAAAAAATCTGTTTGAGTTTCTGTGGAGTTTTTGCGAAAAAATGTAAGATTAAAACACTTTTCTGTTTGCTATTTTTTTACAATACAAGAAAGTAAACACATGCATGTATGCAAACGAAACGAGAAAGCATTCAGTATCTATATCTAACAAATTTATCCACTACAATATGTCTCAAGATTCTAGGTCTGAAAATCAGCAAAAACATGTTCACTGCACAGCATTCTGGGAAATATCGCTTTCTCGCTGTATCACTTTCTCGCCATATTGCTTTCTCGATTATATCGCTTTATCATTTTCTCACTTTGTCACTCTGTCACTTCTTGCCTCCCCGTTTGTCTCTCTAACGCTTTCTCATATCGTTCTATCGCTTTCTCGCTCTATCTGTTTCTCGCTTTAACGCTCTACCACTTTTTTGCTCTATCTCCTTCTCGTTTCGTGCTATGGCTTTCTGATCTTGTGCTATCGCTTTCTAGTCTCGTGTAAACGCCTTCTCGTCTCGTGTAATCCCTTTATCGCTTAATCGCGGCCGTAATTGAAGGTGAGAAAGCGATGTCCCCTCTCGGCCACCATACAAAACGTCTGGCTATTTCTGTACTGCAGATAAAAGAGGTCAGTAGGGTATCTTGTGTCTTGAAGACAATTTATACCAAGAAATCAATTGTGATTAGTGTATAGAATAATCCGAGCTTTCAGAGTGTGGTTGTTCTTTAAAACAAGACAATGGTAATCACCGGAGTGTTCACCTTGCTGTTCGCCTTGCAACAGCTTAACGCCCAACCTGTCGTCGACGCCCCATGGGGTGCAGTTGAAGGGACCACGAACATCACAGAAGACTGGACACCTTACCATGCATTCCTTGGAATCCCCTACGCAGTTCCACCTACAGGGGCCAGGCGGTTCAAGCGACCACAGCCACATCCAAGGTTTAACCACACCTTCAAAGCCAACTCATATGGTCCATCGTGCCTTCAGACTCTCCAGTTCTATGGTAATGATGGTGTTACTGGGGACGAGGATTGCTTAACGTTGAATGTATTCACTCCAGCATCACTTACGGAAACCAAAAACAATCCTGTAATTGTTTGGATACATGGAGGGGGATTTATTACGGGGGATGCTTTCACCTATGACCCTTCATTGATCGTTGCCCATGGACAGGTAATAGTGGTGACCATCCAATATCGTCTGGGGCCGCTCGGGTTCCTCAGCACAAACGATGACGTGTCAAGGGGAAACTATGGTCTCTGGGACCAACATCTTGCTCTGGAATGGGTCAAGAAAAACATTGCATCTTTTGGGGGTGATATCAACAGTATTACCATCATGGGTGAATCAGCAGGGTCCGCCAGCGTGGCATTCCAGGCCTTGTACCCAGGGTCCAAGGGTTTGTTCCAGAGGACAATCATGCAGAGCGGATCCGTCTCGTCCGCATGGGCTCATACACGGAACTCTCTGAAATATGCAAGAGAACTGGCCCATAAGGTAAACTGTTCCTCCCAGAACGATACCGCATCAATGATCACCTGTCTGAGAACGATCCCTGCCAAGACGTTGACTGCAGCATCGTGGCCAATGGGAAATGAACCTGTCACGGCTGTGACCGAGTTTTATTTTGTACCTACTATTGATGGTGAGTTTGTCAAAGACGATCCACTATTTCTAATAAATTCTCCAAGTTACCTTGAACAGGTAGGACTTCAAAATCTTGACTGCATGGTGTCAGTTGTAAGCAACGAAGGGGACTTCTTTAATACCCTTTCACAAGCAGCTGTTAATGTGTTCAATATGTCCTTATCCTCATCGGTTCAGAACAAGGGATTCTACATTAACACCTTCATCCCAGAGATTCTGGAGCTTTATTTCGGTGCATCGTCTCCTGACATGACACAGGCCGTGGCTATGGTGTATCTCCCGCCTCACAGTCCTACCGTTGATCTCCAGGCAGTAATGAACACTCTTGGTGATGCTGGGATGGTCGTCCCCGCAACGCTTTTTGCGAGGGCTCATGCAAAGCTGACCAGACACTTGAAGACAGGAATGAAGACCTACATGTATGTGTTTGACCACATCCCATCTTTCATTCGTGGTCATGGCAAGGGGATGAATCATGCCGAAGACTTGCTTTACACTTTCGGTCTCAACAAAGCCTTCATGGCTGCTTTGACGAAAGCGTTCTTGAATAGTATAACTGTGCCAGACCAATCCGAAAAGGAGCTCTCACGTATATTGATGGGACTGCTAACAGATTTCGCAAGATATGGGTAGGTTTGTCCACTATTTTTTATAAGAATGGTTGAGGGAATGCGTTGAGGGAATTGAATTTGAATGTGTCAGGAAGGTAAGAAGAGAATGAGAATCTTGTTTGTTAGATTATTGTCTAACGCCACACTCAGCAACATTCCAACCTGTTCATAATCGAGTCTGGACCAGAACTGACTAAGGACTACATGTCTTTGCTCGGGTTAATTGGTAATCACAGCAATTTAGACTGAAATCATGTGAGCCCCGTTTTGTTTTTTCTGCGATCTAAACTCTTCTGATATGACCAATGTCGAAGTTCAATGTTAGCATTACTACTCGAGAAAATGTCTCCATTCCCCTCATGGTAGTAATTACTACGTCTCGAAATAGAATGGAAATGGGCACCGGGGCCTCAGTGCTGAGATGATCATTACGCCGATGTCGACATTATGTTCACTTGTGAAATAAGGGAATGCTACAAACTAACGACCCGCGTCCCAATATCTTAAACATGCAATGGGTCAAACAGACAACGCACTCCGAACATAATCCAGGACCAGCACAACCAGAGATACTGGATGCTCAAAAAATATCGACCACTGGATTGTCTGGACTAGACTCGAATACTTAGAGGACGCCGTCACATAACTTGAATATTGCTAAGTGCGGCGTTCAACGGCAAACAATCAAAATGTTCTACGACATAACTTCTCACTACACCAAATCCAAAATCTATCGCATGTTTCATGATAAAATATTTTGTAATGTTTTGTCCATTTGTCCCACGTCAATACATGCAATGAAGCAGGTCACTGTGCCTGACCACCCCATCCATTTAGTCGCCTCTTTCGATCATCCTTGGCCCAGTCGTTTAAGGCGCAGCAGCTTGTCGGTGGAGGGTTGGGTGCCTTCAAAACCCTTAACACAGGGCTGCGTCTGCGACTACAATGAAACACTGCAGGTACAAGCCCTCTATTTATACGCAGGCTGAGGAGGCACTACAGGTAGCTCAAATGAGGGAGAACAGTGGCAGAAGCATTGCCATGGTGTCTCAAAGGCTGCCGTGGTCGCCGAATGGAGGCACGGCGGTCGCCACGGTCATCGTTTAATGCACGCTGTTGGTCGCCCAAAGGAGGCACAAGGGAGGCAGAAGCATCGCTCAAATTGACGGGAAAATATTTCAGCAGAACGCATCTATTACCTGGCGACCATTGGGCGACCACTGTGCCTTCATTCTGCAACAACGGCAAGGCCTCCTTTGAGCCACCTTTGACCAACCAACCCCATCAGCGACCTCCGTGCGACTGTTTGGAACATGTTCAAAACTTCACGGCGACCATGGCGTCCATGACGATGTCTAAACCTCCTGTTTACCACCTTGGAACGACCTTGGCAACCTCCTAGGAGCCTCCAACGACGGCCTGGCAAATGTTATAGTCTCACACGGGAGGCACAAAGGTCGCCATCCTGTGTAAAGGCCTCATTAGGCATGTCAAGAGCCTATGATCGTTTGTGTGAATCCCGGTGCTGGCTATGTTTCTGGGTTTGTCAGAACCATTCCCATGGGTTTCCTGGGTCACTCCGGGCTTTCCTCCCACATCAAGCTGACACGCCGTGAGAATTAGTGAAATACTGTTCAAAGCGGCATTGAACACAACTCACTCACCTTCTCTGGATCAGTCAGGATCAGACAAACCAGTAACTGAAGGCATATGTAACTTCCTCGAATAAACGATACACATGAAGCATGAATGTTTAGGTAGGTCTACCGGGTGTAGAGATTCAAGTATCCCAAAAAGGGAAGGGAACACGTATTTCTTCGTAATTGAAACTATGAAATAATGTGAGGGGGCAAAGATTTGGTGGTTAAAGCGTTCACTCATCACACAGAAGGCAACGGTTCGATTTTTGAACCCCATCATAGTGTTCCCCGCTGTGATAATGCTGGAATAGTCAGTTAGCTAAAAGTCCAACTCGCTAAATCGTCGTCAGCTGTGATAGAGTGCATTGGTGGGGTAAACGTGGAACATAAAACTCCACACAAGGTCATTCATGATTCGTAGAAAGCGTGAGTATGAGAATAAATGTCCTTCAGACAACTTTTAGGAACATAATGGGCGTGAAACAAGCATGTTACAAGAACACAACTATATGAAACATACACTACATGCAAAAAATTGTTCTGGTGTTTTGAAGTAAAATTGCGAATAATCCGCGGATTAGTTGCAAATAATTCGCGAATAATTGACGAATAAGTGACGTCCTGATCAGTGTGGCCACACAGTTAACGTTGATAACAATATGAAGTGCATTACATGTACTCCTACAAAACTAATTATAATAATCGCATTTGGATTATAAACATATTACATTTTATTTAAATAGAAAACAAGATATTAAACAACTTATTCAAGTAATGCTTTCGTGAATGTGTTGGGAGGTAGTTGCAGCATTATTTTGTCACGCTAAAATACCGTTTGATCTCCAATACGAGCACAATGTCCCATATGAGTACAATGTGAACGACCCGTGAAGATCCGGGGTAGAATAAGTCTTCAGCAACCCATGCTTGCCGTAAAAGGCGACTATGCTTGTCGTAAGAGGCGACTAACGTATCAAATGTGTGTGTAAATATTTATGATATGTTTATGATCAGTTTATGACAATAAAGCACCAGATTTAATTGTTCTGACGTTTGCTATTTACGTAATTTGTATACGTGATATACATGTAGTTATGATACTCTAATATTTCGCAATCCCCCTATTTATATTCCGAGTTGGGATAAGCCATTAAACTTGTTTTGTGATTCAGTTATCATCACAACCCTTATATGAACATTTGATTTCCATCCATGTTCATTGTGCTGGAGAAGCTGTACACTATCACATGTAACCGAGTCACAGACACAGGTGATAACAAACTCCAACAGCAAGTGCACTTGGGTTTGAGTTTTCTACAGTAGAACTTGGCACTGAAAGTATATACCATGTACATCGGCAATATTTGGGTGCGGGGATGCTCCAAAATAGGTGATATGATATTCCGCCGATTGATGAAATATTGAATGATTATTGGAACACGAATGCAACATTTAAATGCATTGCCGATTTTTATTTTAAATTTGGAACAATTCAGAAAAAAACAGCCTGGTAATTCCCATATTCTCTAATCTAAGTGAGATCCTTAAGAGTTGATATTGTACGTAGTTTTTTAATTGTTTAACGATTATTTGATTCGTTCACGAAAACACGTACACGATGATGGTAATCGTAATTCATTGCATCTGTTTCTCTGCTTACTTACTTACTTACTTACTTTGGAGATTTAACGTGCGCTTTCCGACTGATGCGTATTTCGCACACGGGCCCGGCCAGGCCATTTAATGTGTTTCCGAAAGGGGCGAAAGTGGTCTGTGCAACCCAAGAGGGGGGTTTTAGGGGTTGCTTATATAGAATTTGGGAATTTTGAGATTTGGAATAGATGCCGATGGGTTTCGGGAGGAGAACTAAGGGAGCTGGGTATGGTGGATGTTTGTTTGTTTGTTTATGTGATTTTGATTTGGTAGGTTATTGTGTTTTTAGATGCGTTTTATTAGTTCCGTTTTTATTAAGAATACGCCTAAGGCCTTGAAGTTTTCTAGTTTATTTTGTGGGTTTAGTATTGCTTCTAGAGTTAGAGCCTTGTTTAGATTGAGGGTGGTTTGTAATGCGGTTCGATGTGTTAGGTAGTGTGTGCAGTGGATGAGTGTTCTGGGGTTTCTGGTTGTTTGCAGTGTGGGCAGTTACCTGTAGTGTGTTTTTTTTTAAATTTTAGGTGGTTATTTAGGTTGGTGTGTCCTGTTTGGAGTTTAGTGATTACTCTGTCGATTTTTTTGGATGGATGGAGAATTTTTGGTTTGGTTAGTGGTTTGCTGAGCACTTTTTTGATTTGGCTATTTGAGTTTAGATATAGGTTATACCATTTTTTGTGATTTTTTGCTTGTTTACACTTTTAATTTCTGATTTTGAGATGGGTAAGTTTAAGCTTATTTCTGGGATTTTGAGGGATGTGTTTCTCTGTATCTCTGTACCCGCGGGGCGATTAATACCTCTTGTAAAATCTCTTCTTCTTATAATGAGGTCAGTTTAATCGTGAATACACAATGTCACTCATGTGGCGTCAAAGGCAAAGCCCAGCAGACACAGAACTACCACCCCTCTTTCCCCTCCCTGTCAGTAAAAGTTATGTAATCTGTACACAAATAACTTTGATGCGGTGTCAGTGTAGACGGAGTTTGAATTACGTCCGTCACTGGCCACAGACATCCTTATAGTATTCTAGAAGGCTACAGCCGTTTAAATAACCTAGCGCTGCACGCAACTCTCGTCGACAAAGGCTGTCAATCTGTCTGCTTCAGCTACCATACAACCCTCCCTGTCCCAACTGTCGTTTAACTGTCTTTTTCAAAAAACTAATTTAAAAACTTCGTTTTCAGACTGACGTATGTCGTATACAGTCCTCTTATTTGATAAAAAAACAACAACATTAAGTAAGATAACTGGACGATCAACTGGATTTTACATTCCTAATATCAGCTAACGGTCCTGTGTGTGAACATATGCAATAGAAATAAGATTTGAGGACTAATAAAATCAATTGTAAGACCGTACATACAATAAATACGAATAAAATATGCCTTGAGTGAGTAAGTGAGTGAGCCATTGAGTGAGCTGGGTTTAACGCCGCTTTTAACAGTATTCCAGTTATATCACGGCGTGTCAGCTTAATGTGGGAGGAAAGCCCGAAGTGGTGCAGGTCTCAGACGTATACCACTTCGGTTAAACCTTCGAGCAGGGGTATAGTTCTGACAAATCTATAAACATAATTGGGACGAACCGGGATTCGAACCCACAATTATAGGTTTCTGACGTGCCCAAGTGACGCAACTCCGCACAGCGAATCGCGGCGACTCAGACGACTGGGCCACCCGTGCCCCCAAATATGCCTTGACATCATCTGTTGCGTTTTAGATGATGGTTATGATCTGAAATATTTTAACGTAAGATGAGGAAGGAGAAACATTAAAGTGTTTAATGATACACGAGATTTGGGAACACTGATATGAGCAATATCAGTAAGCAACTTAAACATGGTGGAAACAAATTGAAAAAGATTTTAATAAAAAATATTGTACTGAACAACATGCCTGTGCACCAGCGCTTCCCAAGGATAGGATATTGCATAGACAACACAAACTTGTTTGACTATTTTGAGTTGTTGTAGACTGGCAAACAGCAAGTGTTTTTCATGCTATGCATTTGCTTCCATATACACATTACAAATTCAGGTACACCACCTGTGTGAAGCATTATGAAGCTGAGAACTGAGATGCCAAGTAATACTTACATTCACACGGAAACAATATAATTATTGTATATGCCCCTACCTCTGACCGCCTCCGTGGTCTAGTGGTAGAGCGTCCGCCCGGAGAGCGGAAGTCCGGGGTTCGATCCCCAACCGCGTCATACCAAAAGACGTTAAAAGATGGTACTTGTTGTTACCCTGTCTGGCGCTCGGCATTAAGGGGCTAAAGCAAGGACTGGTCGGCTCGGAGTCAGTATACTGTGTTTGAGTGGGGTATTCATGTTAAAAAACTGCGGCATGGTATCTTAGTGAGCTAGCACTATAAATCGGCATCAGTCCGGAATAGTACAAGCAGCCAGACAAACACACACACGTACATGCACGTCGCTATATAAGTGCAATAATCTTGGACGCGACATTAAACCCCATTTCACCTCACCCTACCCATGAAAAAGGTAACACTAAAGTATTTTGAATTGTAGGAAATATAAAAATGAATCATCCTTGTCAACTCAACGTTACTTGGGGTGTCTCTGATAGATATGGTTTTCAGGTTATTGACAGCTTTGATTGATAGGGATTACGCTTCCTGATCGAATTATTGGTACCACACATTCCAGCAGAGAGTTATTGCTCCTTGTGGTAGTTACTCACATCACTGTATCTCAGAAAGCGGAACTGATAACATTCAAACATATAATTAATAGACAGAGAATTGTTACATGTCATTTCCGGCTTGAACAAAGAGCTCACATGTATGCTGTCATATCTCCCAGCAAGTCAGCTATATTTTTCAAGCATTTTTTAAGTTCCGAAGACATTTTGAATGAAAGGAATTCAAGTGAAATTCGTTTTTTATCATATTTAACAAACCTACGTGTATTTTTCCAAATTCAAAGCCCGTACTCCCGTTCTACATTTCGTTCCAATGGACATGGACCATTCAACTCGATCGCGAAAGTCGAAGGGCGTATACGACGTTAAACTCTGAGCTGCATAATGCATATTCACGATAATCAATTGGTCTAAATCTGCAAGATGACAGACACAATTCCTCTTTATACAACGCATTATCATTGTTCTCGTTCAACATATTGTACTTAAGATTTGAAGTCATTGTAAAGTTTCAAGGAGTACAGTAATTGTGTGGTATTATGAATGAAATTAGAATATGAATAGTGAAAAACAGTCACCATATGGGATGTACATGAACAACTTCCAACACCACGCTTGTGCCGACGCTCGGGGGTCATAAAACTATTGGTCCCATTGCGTGTGTTTGCGTAGCTACGCGGAAACAATTACAAACATTCTGCCTAGTCCCCGCGTCGCATACGCAAACGTTTTACAAAGGTTCTGCGGAAATTTTGCAAATAAAATATAAGACTTTTGCGTTGTAGAGTATGAGGTCTGAATCTAGAAAAATAATATCAACAGGCATCAAAGCTTTAATCCCAACTCATTATCATTTGTGAACATGTACAAAGTGTCTGGAACATTCTGCAGTGAAGGTAAGCGAGAGGTTAGTAGGGTATCTTGTACAGCAGCTGTTTCGACCAACACAGCGATTGTGTAACTGACACATAAAATAAGCCCTGCTTTCAGAATACGGTTGTTCTATAAAGCAAGACAATGGCAGTCATCGGGATTTTCACCTTGCTGTTCACCTTACAAAACCTAAACGCCCAACCTGTCGTTAACGCCCCGTGGGGCGTAATTGAGGGGACCACGAACGTAACAGAAGACTGGACACCTTACCATGCATTCCTTGGAATCCCCTACGCAGTTCCGCCTACAGGGGCTAGGCGGTTCAACCATCCACAGCCACATCCAGGATTTAACCACACCTTCAAAGCCAACTCATATGGTCCATCGTGCCTTCAGTCTCTCAAGATGTTTGGTGCTGATATTGTTACTGGGGACGAGGATTGCTTAACACTGAATGTATTCACTCCAGCGTCCCTAACAGAAACCAGGAACCTTCCTGTTATTGTTTGGATACATGGAGGGGGATTCGTCATAGGGGATGCTTTCACCTATGACCCTTCATTGATCGTTGCCGATGGACAGGTAATAGTGGTGACCATCCAATATCGTCTGGGGCCGCTCGGGTTCCTCAGCACAAACGATGACGTGTCAAGGGGAAACTATGGTCTCTGGGACCAACATCTTGCTCTGGAATGGGTCAAGAAAAACATTGCATCTTTTGGCGGGGATATCAACAGTATCACCATCATGGGAGAATCAGCAGGGTCCGCCAGCGTGGCATTCCAGGCCTTGTACCCAGGGTCCAAGGGTTTGTTCCAGAGGACAATCATGCAGAGCGGGTCTGTCTCGTCCGCATGGGCTTATACACGGAACTCTCTGAAATATGCAAGAGAACTGGCCCATAAGGTAAACTGTTCCTCCCAGATCGATACCGCATCAATGATCACCTGTCTGAGAACGATCCCTGCCAAGACGTTGACTGCAGCATCGTGGCCAATGGGAAATGAACCTGTCACAGCTTTAGCCGAGTTTTATTTTGTACCTACTATTGATGGTGAGTTTGTCAAAGACGATCCACTGGTTCTAATAAATACTCCAAGTTACCTGGAACAGGTAGGACTTCAAAATCTTGACTGCATGGTGTCAGTTGTAAGCAATGAAGGGGGAATCCTTAATGTTATGGCACAAGCGGCTGATAAAGAGTTCAATATGTCCTTATCCTCATCGGTTCAGAACAAGGGATTCTACATTAACACCTTCATCCCAGAGATTCTGGAGCTTTATTTCGGTGCATCGTCTCCTGACATGACACAGGCTGTGGCTAACGTGTATCTCCCGCCTCACAGTCCTACCGTTGATCTCCAGGTAGAAATGAACACTTTTGGTGATGCTGGGATGGTCGTCCCCGCAACGCTCTTTGCGAGGGCTCATGCAAAGCTGACCAGCCACCTGAAGACGGGGAAAAGGACCTACATGTATGTGTTTGACCACATCCCATCTTTCATTCCTGGTCATGGCAAGGGGATGAATCATGGTGAAGACCTTTTTTACACTTTCGGTCTCAACAAAGCCTACATGGCTGCAATGGCGAAACAGTTCCCAAATACTACATTTGTGCCAGACCAATCCGAAAAGGAGCTCTCACATACAATGATGGGACTGCTGACAGATTTCGCAAAATATGGGTATGTTTAACCAATAGCTTTATAAGAAAGGTTTGTTTTGCAGTGAGGGATTTGAGTTTGGATGTGTCAGTATCGTAGAAATAGAGTGACCAGTATCGTGGAAGGGGGCCCAGAATGTGGAACATTTTGTATATTTGTTTGTTGTTTAACGTGTTATGTGTCGACTACCAAGCGCGTGGAACACTGCCCCCATCGTGAGACTAGCCCCACTTGACTCAGGTGGCGAGCATCTGCCAATGTGGTGATCTTGACCGACCAAGGATCGTAATCAGAGTGAGATTCTCGCACATTTTTTGGGAGTGAATTGTTGTGCCCTTGACTACCTGACGAAACATGAAACCCCGCTTTGCAAGGAATGGGTGAATTCTACACATTGTACATTTACAGAATAGGCCAAACCCTCCAGGACACACAATGTATTTTAATGCATTACTTCAAGCCTGTTCGGTCCATAGGCAAGATGCATTTGACATATAAGAAACGTGCACTGAGATGCATGTCCTGAAAAATGTCTATTACAAACAATAACGTAAAACAAAAACATTTCAAATTTTCCACAAAACAAAGCTGATTTTATTCTATTTTTATACTTTTGAAAAAGGTACCGCAGGCGCTTCTACAAAATAAGAAAGGTGAGGTGAAATGGGGTTTAACGTCGCGTCCAAGATTATTGCACTTATATAGCGACGTGCATTTACGTGTGTGTTTGAGTGGCTGCTTGTACTAGTCCGGACTGATGCCGATTTATAGTGCTAGCTCACTGAGATACCATGCCGCAGTTTTTAACATGAAAACCTAACTCAGACTCAGACTCCGAGCCGACCAGTCCTTGCTTTAGCCCCCTAATGCCGAGCGCCAGACAGGGTAACAACAAGTACCATCTTTTAATATCTTTTGGTATGACGCGGTCGGGGATCGAACCCCAGACCTTCCGCTCTCCGGGCGGACGCTCTACCAATTGACCACGGAGGCGGTCTGCAAAACGAGAAAAGAAGTGGCATAATACGAGGTTATGTAGCTCACCTGTCTCTACATTTCAGAGACCCCAACAACGCTGTACGGTTTGGCCTGAACCAGACTTGGCCTGCGTTCACGGAGCCAGGGGAACACTATCTACTGCTGAACACCACCATGTCCGTGCAGTCCAGCCCCTTCAGGGACAGGGTTAAGTTATGGGCTCTAAAACTGCCGCGTCTCCTCCATGCCTTGCAGAACCAGCACCACACCACAAACCCCAACCTTCAGATTATCGGGTAGCTGTGCAACGACTGCAAGGAGCTGAGTTTTTGAATTAATAAATATTGTATTGTCTTGTCTTGTATTGAGATGTTTGTGTGAGAGTCGGCAATATTCTGTAAACAAGCATGACATACTCATATCCCCCGCAAATATGACATGCCCGGTTGTGTGCAATGCATTAGCTCCTGTGAACTATGTTCACTGGGCCTTTTTATAAATGGCCTAATAGCAAGCACTAAAAAGATATTACTGGTGTTGTTTTGCCATCTGTAGTTTATGATAGAATACAGAACTGTATTTGTAATGAGTTGTGTTATTAATTAAACAGTAATCAGAGAAGAAAGGGAGTTCTTACTTTACTCAGAGATCATTGAGAGCAGGGGTCACCATGAGGTGTACGTATAAGTATAGTACCAATCATCTGATGATCTGAGTAGTAGACTGGAGTCTGGAATGCTACAGCACTGGCAAGATCAGTAAACAACAAGTCCAGTGTAGCTCCAAGACAGTGAGTTGAAGAGTAAATGAGTTGAGTCATTTTCTCGCATTAAAGAAATCTTCAAGTTTCGGCTTTTCACTCAGATAACAGTTGAAATCCCCAAGTAACCAGGACATGTTCACATTCATGCTGCTTGGGGAGATCCTGAAGTCTCTGCATGAAATGAGTTGGTGAATGAGACAACAGTGTCCATGACACTTTTGGAGGAACATACACACAAGCAGTGCAGAACTTGCAAACAAGAAAGGAAATGTATTCAATACTGCGAGAAGACATAACGTCACATAGCTGGACACTGTTCTTGAAACCTGTTGAAACATACACTGCAATACCATGTGTTGTGTCTCATGGATAGACTTGATAACCTTGCAGGTCTCTTTCACTGTAACCATTGACGTGTATTTCTGTGAAACACAAAACATGAACCACTCCAACAAACTTATCCTTCACATCTTCGAAATGAGCACTGATGGATCGAACATTCAAGTGAGACAGCTGAGTCCATCACCATGAATTTTCTCCACAGGGTGTTGACAGGTGAACAGTCTTTCATTCCGCAATCTAGTCATCTCATCCAATGCTTTTTTGTTAACAGATCTGCTCTGGAAAGGAGGACTACCGCCATTTTCAGTCAAAGTCAAAGTCGTTGCCAAGGAAACGAAAAAGGTTTTTCATAAAAATCCCAAACTGTCAAAAGGCACCAATTCACCACCAGACCTGTCTACGTGCCAGGTTTGGTTAAGATATCTCTCATGGTTTTTGTGCCATTTTCGGTCTAAGTTTGCTTGTTTGTTTGTTGTTTAATGACGCACTCAGAAATATTCTAGCTATATGACGGCGGTGTGTAAATAATCGAGTCTGGACCAGACAATCCAGTCATTGACATCATTAGCATCAATCCATGCAATTGGGATACGATGACATGCATCAACCAAATCAGCAAGTCTGACCTACCGATCCCATTAGTCGCCTCATACAACAAGCATAGTCGCCTTTTACAGCAAGCATGGGTAGGGAAACTCGGGAAAAAAATTGTTTAAAAAAATCCCAAACTATCACAAGTATTTGTCACAGAGTGACGAAATATCCCCCGCCTGTACACCATAGTACCAAATATGAAGACAATCCAGCGATTAGTTCTTGAGATATCGCGGCAACACCGTTTTCTAACTCCAAAAGCAGATTTACCTGCTGTGACCTTGAAAATGGGGTCATGGTCACCAAAACCGACTGGTGTCTGCGGTGTCTGTATATACACCATAGTTCCAAATATGAAGACAATCCAGTGTTTAGTTCTTGAGATATCGCGGCAACACCGTTTTCCAACTCTAAAAGCAGATTTGTCTGCTGTGACCTTGAAAATGGGATCAAGGTCACCAAAACCGACTGGTGTCTGCGGAGTCTGTATATACACCATAGTTCCAAATATGAAGACAATCCAAGATATCGCGGCAACACCGTTTTCTAACTCCAAAAGCAGATTTACCTTCTGTGACCTTGAAAATGGGGTCAAGGTCACCAAAACCGACTGTTGTCTGCGGAGTCTGTATATACACCATAGTTCCAAATATGAAGACAATCCAGTGTTTAGTTCTTGAGATATCGCGGCAACACCGTTTTCCAACTCCAAAAGCAGATTTGCCTGCTGTGACCTTGAAAATGGGATCAAGGTCACCAAAACCGACTGGTGTCTGCGGAGTCTGTATATGCACCATAGTTCCAAATATGAAGACAATCCAGTGTTTAGTTCTTGAGATATCGCGGCAACACCGTTTTCCAACTCTAAAAGCAGATTTGTCTGCTGTGACCTTGAAAATGGGATCAAGGTCACCAAAACAGCCTGGTGTCTGCGGAGTCTGTATATACACCATAGTTCCAAAAATGAAGACAATCCAGTGTTTAGTTCTTGAGATATCGCGGCAACAAACAGGTGGGACGTACGGACGGACGTACGGACGGTCGTGAATACTATATCCCCCGCTTCGCGCTTTCGCGCGGCGGGGGATAAAAAGGCACCAGATCACCACTAGACCTATCTATGTGCATAGTTTAGTAAAGATATCTCTCATGGTTTATGTGTTCTGCTCCGGAAAACAAGAACAACCACCATTTTCAGTCAAAGTTGTTGCCAGGGAAACTCGAATTGTTTTTTTAAAAATCCCAAAGTTTCAAAAGGCACCAGTTTTCACTAGACCTATTTATGTGCCAATTTGGGTGAAGAAATATTGTACGGTTTTCAAGATCTGCTCCAAAAACGAGTACTGCTGCCATTTTCAGTCTAAGTCAAAGTCGTTGCCAGGGAAACTCGAAATATTATTTTTATAAAAATCCCAAAGTGTCAAAAGGCACCAAGGGACGCAACTCTGCACAGCGAATCGCAGCGCCTAAGACGACTGGGCCACCCATGCCCCCTGAGAGTATGGTCCCTAAGATCTGCCAGGAAGCTTAAAGCATGGGTTAGAATTTCAGTTTGTCCTGATTATGCTTCTTGGTTTTCATCAAACTGACACACCTGATTTAAATGGAATACTGTTCAAAGCGGTGTTAAACCCATCTTAATCACTCAGTCGAAACAAGCCATTTGTGATAAACCTTATTATTACTGTAAATACGGGACCAGACAAACCAATACCTGAAGGCTCTTCCTCAGGATACAACACAACCTGATCTTATCTCTGGTGCTCTTATGACAAGCATAACGGGATTGGAGACCCCATCATGTTCCCCAAGTGACTGGGGTGGCAAACAAATGCATCCTGATTGGGCAGTCAAAGATCTCTCAGGGTTCACCTCACGTGACCTCCTACGGATGGTTTCTCAGTAATCTGAAGGAGAAAGGTATCATATCATAGTTGGTTGGTTGGTTTGTTGTTTAACGCCGCACTCAGCAATATTCCAGCTGTATGACGGCAGTTTGTAAATAATCGAGTCTGGTCCAGACAATCAACTGATTGATATCATGAGCATCGATCCACGCAATTGGGATCAATGACATGCATCAACCAAGTCAGCCAGCCACCCGATCACGTTAGTTTTACGACAAGCATGGGTTGCTGAAGACCTATTCTTCCCCAGAATCTATCATATCATAGTAAAAGATCTAGTTTACATGTTTCAAATCCTCTAAGCATCATCAAGTTTAGACATTTTGGAACCAAAGTGACAAAACCCTTTCCATATTCAGAACAAATTTCTGCCCCCAAAAATCCATTGTATGATTCCTACTGTATCATGGGCATGTTTTCATGAATCACTATTAAATAGTGATTATATGAGGTGTTTGCGAAAAGGTGAAAACCATGTTAAGAGTCTCTTTTTTTTTTAACCTTCACCCCATGGGAACAAATGATCGGTAGATCCTGGCACAGTTGAGAAATACATCTCATTACTGCATATGGCACTTCAGGCAGCAAACCTTTGCATCAATGGGCGACCTCTGCGCCACACTCGGCTTATTTCACCGACTACATTTGGTCTCAGATGTGCCAAGAGCCTGATGAACACAAGGACACTTACAAGGGAGAAACCTCCGAAGAGCCGCGTCAATATCCCTGGCGACCCATGTCTACCTTTCATGGCAAAATGAGATCTACATAAAAAAAGATCAACTAAAAAATTGTGAAAGAACACAGAACAGACCACAACTGTTTTGTTTATTGGATTTACTGATTGTCTGCAAGGAGGTATACAGTCTATCAACTTTGCACACTGTACACTGATCAAACTCAACACTTGCCGATCGGCAAAAGCCACCAAAGCAATTAATAAAATATATTTCTCAGTTATAAAGCATTAATTCAAGTCCCGTGTCCTGGGACGCATCTTTGGTTTGCAATGAAACATGATGGATGAAACTAATACATGGGGCATGTCAAAAGTTCCAAAGCCATTTTCACAAATATTGGCATTTCAATGAATTTGTATGAAACTGTCATACATCTACACCATATAAAGTTTAAGTTAAAATATGACTGACAGAACTTTTGACAGAGTCCCTTAGCTTTAAGCCACCAAATAGCTTTCACGGGTTTAGGCCCTTCTTGGGTATTGATAATGGATTAAAAGATTAAAGGAAAAGCTAGCACCAGCATGCACTGGTTCAAATTTACAAGTATCTTCTTGCCTCAGAATTCAATTTAGTTATTTTTCTGAATTTTTGCACTTTTTTATGAACATATATCAAGTTTGATAATAACATGAGGCTTATACCAAATATGACTTATAGTTCTTGCAAGTTATGAAATAAAATCATCCATTTTGGCATTGAAGATGTGTGAGTATCGTGCTCTTTTCAGTATTTCAGAAACTGCACATGAAAGAGGAAAATTATCTTTGTTTTGAACTAACAATCATCATCATTGTCATCATCTTCATATCTTCATCAAAGACATTATTTTCGTAATTCCAATCAAAGTTTCTGTAACTCATGTCATTCTCTGCTTTCAGAATACTGAACTGTTTTTTTCTGCTGAATTAATTCAAGTGTCAGTTTCATTAGGGCTCTAAATGAACAGATTTAATGTCTATTATACTAGTACACTGCAAGATGTTTATTCAGAAATTTAAAAAACCCACTTCAGTTGAAATAACTGAGAGATCATATTCAATTTAATTTTAAAAATGTATTTTTTTTAAAAATTATTTCTTTTGTGAAGTGTATTGTTACAAGATTAAATTTTTTATAGGCAAAAACAACATATTCATCTATCCACACCAATTTACTTCAATGCCAAAATGTCAATATGGTAAATATCCTCTCGCTAGCATTTCCATGGTAATTTCTTCAAGGTTAAGAGCATAGATCTACACTAGGCAACAAAAATAAATGACAGATAAAACTGGTGATAACATAATGATATATATGTGTGAGACAGCGAGTTGAGTGAACATACAACCACTAGGGCTAAACAGATACACCTTTTGACATACACATATCTACAGCTGCAAGTTACGGACACAAGGAGGTTTCGGTATTTGTCTTCACAACCATTCGACTTTGATACAAATATTAATCAAATCACAAGATGTTGTGATTCTTTTCTCCAAACATTTTGGGGTTGAAAACTCACTATACCAAACTATATATAAACACTACAGCCATAATGAGAGGGATGCTTAATTTGTGGAATATTTAACAATCTAAAATTAACAACTTAATAAAACACCAGTGCAACTTTCTGGGCAGGAAATGCCCCGTCATCATCATATATCAAATACTGTATGTCCTCATGCTATTCACAGCTCAGACCAAGGTTAACTGCAGTCTACCTGGGCCCTGTTTCACAAAGCAATCTTAGCGCTAAGACATACTTTAACATAGACTTTAATCATAGCACTAAGATCATTTTGTGGAAAGGGGCACAGTGTCCCATTCCATATCATAACCTGATGTTACAGTATAGGAGTAACAATCATCTTAGCGCTAAGATCAATTTGTGGAACGGGGCCCAGTGTCCCATTCCATATCATAACCTGATGTTACAGTATGGGAGTAACAATCATCTTAGCGCTAAGATCAATGTGTGGACAAATGGCCCTGATCAATATAAGGGACCATGCCCTTATTCTGAGATGGGAGAGTTTAGTTTAGTTTAGTCAACTTTATGGTAATGAGGAGAAATTAGCTGTAGCTGGTCCATCCCTTATTTCCAGACAAAACCCTACCACGAGATCCAGCCCAAAACAAAGACCAGCTTGTTGTAGGAAATCATTGGTTGACAAGCTGGTTGATTTCTCTACAAATCATTTTTACAATATGTTACAACAAAACATAACAAAAAACAAAGTTTTCAAGAAATAAAATCAAATAAAAAATAAGATTTTTCCTGTACATTTCGGTGAACAATTTTGTTTTTAAAGTTTAAATATAAACTAATAATTTTCCTGTATACATTGGCAAACAAATTGTAAAATGTATTCTGTTTTGAAGAAAGAGAAATGTGTGAACATTCATTTGGTTATCAAATGAATTCAAATGATAATCTAGCAAGATTGATTAATTTAGAACCTGTTAGTATTACAATAAAAAAACATCAACAATCCGCAACTGGGAATAAAATAAATAAACTCGTCAAATTAACAAATTAAGCAAGCCTCTTAATTGCACATCCATCTTCATTCTCATTAATTTAAATAATCATAAATAATCAACACATTTATTTAAATCAAAGTGATCATTTTGAAGGCAGTATGACGACTGGGCATCCCCTCAGTCCAAAATAACCTCGAGCCAAAGCTACAAATATTAGTAACAATCTGCTCAAATTTCAACCATGTACTGAAAAATACATTTGAAGATAACGTGGATGGAGCATCATCACTAGCAGCCTGTCCCAGGGTATTTTGGCAGCCGTGGATACTAATCCAAGTCCTATAATCATAACACCATGAAAGAAACTAAAATATGGGCAGCCATTTTCATAAACATATATTTCAATATAACCAACAAGATAAAGCCAAGGCATCATGCATATATCATAAGCATTTTGAAATCCACATGACAAAACAGTTTACAAGTCAAAAGTAAATGCTTTAAGTCTTTCCAGGTCAGATTTTGGTCACATTTCATAATTAATAAATGTTGGAACTATTCATGTTTCTTGGTTATGGAACATATACATTGCTAACTCTCTTGTGTTACTGTAATCAATGTAATTAGTGCACATGCTTTCAACTAAGTAAGATGACAATGGGTACAAGTAATTAAAAGGACACTGTCAGTGTGGGGGGATTTGATCATACTAACGAACACACCAAATACAGACTGGCAAACAATTTTAAGTGTGATACTTTTATCAACATGGTACTTGTACAGACAAACTAGTGCATGATACTTTGCAAATATAAGTTGGCTGACCTCATCTGAACTGAAATCTATTACCCTTACGGCTACGTAAAATAGCAAATTAATATAACAGGAACGTAATAATGTGCGATGGCGATCGGTACTTATAGATTTTTACATTACACATATATATCTGTGAGAAATTAGTAAATCTGAAATGTAAGTATAATTTCCAATGATAATAAGTAGTATCATAAAATCATTACCGTATTTGACGAAATAAGCGCTCCGCTCTAATAAGCGCCCACGGCGATATTTGCTAATATATTGGCTAGTGAACAATCCCAATTGGCACCCCTTCCGATTGATCAATATACACAAGACTTATTTTTTCGCGAATAATACGCACTCGTGTGTTATATCCACCCTAAATTATGGGCAATTAATACATAAACATTTCAGGCTGTCAGCATAAACCAAGAAATTTATCTCTCAACTCCGTTTTTTTTTCACCAAAATAATATTCTAATAAGAGCCCCCTATTTCTAATTTTGAGAGCGCCCTGGGTGCTTATTACATCGAATACGGTAATTATATTCATCACAAATATCAGAACTGTTACAAAGGTTACATAATCTTTTAGAACTAGGTGATTTGTTCCAACTTTCAGATAATATTGGTTGTCGGTGACAGGATGTTACAGACTATGATTTTCATTGGGAGCTAGAAGTACAAGATTTTTTTCTCTTTTGAATATTTGGTTATTCTTTATTATTTAATACAAACTCTGGTATTGTGATATGAAATGAATGCTAAGTTAAGATTGTAGACAAGAGGGTGGTGGTGTGGACATGTTGGAGTTAGGGATGTGAGGTGGGGATGCTTGGATTAGAGGACGTGGTTATTAACTGATGTGCGCTAACTACCTTGACTACGGTACCATGTAAACATTGTCGTCTTGTATACAAAAACAAACATCTGTGGTTGCTAGGGCGAACTTGCATTTGGAAGAGCCATGACATGAGCAGAGATGGGAAAAGGAACAAAATAAGATCTTATCTCAGCTACAGATAAATATCACAAGATTTCATCTTTTGTCTTAAAAACATTGAAAAAATTCAATCTACAAAGTCTTTGGTATCGTCTATTAAATACATACACACAGAGCAAGTACAAAATTCTGTGCAACATTTAAGTCTCTATCACCACATGTGCAATATATTGTATATGAAACCATGCAAGTTGAATAAATGATATGTAGTGTCTATCAAATGAAAAAAAGTTGTGGGTTTAATTACTGTAGCAGTTGAATTAAAATTTCATCTGAATAGTGACCATGCTTGGTTAATACAGGCAAATTCACTTCACCAAGAATTCACAAAAATCATTCACCTCTTATGTTATCACAAATACAGGATTATACTCATAATTTTCAAAAATTCAGATTTTAAATTTCAACACCCTTCAGTGATATAAAATAAAGTTTAGATTGGACATTTGGAGCATGCAAATTGTTGAAAAATTAATTTATCAACTTTTTCTTCAACATCTAGCACTATGGCACAAACATTAAATAATAAATACATCTTCAGCTTTTCAATGCAGTTATCTCCCCTTAACCAGGTTTATGGTTACTTTTGTCTTCGTGATATATTAATTCTTTGTAAGCACTGAATATTCATATTTACAAACTCTTCAGAATAAATATACCAGCATTTAAAATACTTTTTCAGAAATTTGTAGACATTAGTACAAATCTAATTCAACAGATTTTTTTGGTACTTTTTGCTATACATTTTGTGTAGTTTCAATGAAAATGATATCAAAACTGTTTCACGGGGAATATTGATATGTTTCAATTTGCCATTAAGAATTAAGACAGGTCTTTGGTGAATTGACATCAAAATCTATGAAAAAATAACAATACTTACAACAACAAAAAGATTCAACAGGACTGTATGGTATTAGTTGGGACTCATTGTTGTACGACACGTAAATAGATGGCTCCCTCTAAAAAGGGGATTCTATCAAAAAATTACCAGGTAACAGGAGAACCTACATTGATATTATGATGGTACAAAATGGAAAGTTGGTATCCGAAAATATTTTCGGTTTTGAACTCCACATCATCTTATTGTCCCAAGATAAAGAAAATCACTATGCATGGTGCATTTCATTACTTGTTTAAATATATTGTATTCCTTGTCATACATAACATATGTGAGGTTTTAAAAGAAATAGAATAAGATAAATGCCTCCCCTCTCACAATTTTGATTGTTTTCTTCTAAAATCTAACAATTAATTTATAGTGGTCTTGACTCATTTTTAAAATATTGGAACACCTCACAAACATATCTATACAAAAGACCACAATGTTAAATATGCTCCAAATAAAACGTTTATAAATATCAGTTTGTAGCTCTGGATACCATAATACAAAAGTGTATTAAGGAAAAGACTGTTTGGCTATTGTGAATCTATGAACGTGTGCTACATCTAGATACCGATAGCTGAATCCCAACTAATATCCAACATCATTTCTTAAACAACAGTTGACAGCACAGACAGCAATCAATGAGATTTGGCTTTCTTTCGATCATTATGGAATACTGTTTCGAGTTAGTGTCATAAATATAATTTATTTGTAATAATCATAAAATTTACGGCATAATTCTGGGTTCTCCAACCCACAAACAACTCTAACAATATTTAATACATACCTTGAAACACTGGGACAAAGTTTTGAAAACATTTTGGTTGACAATGGAAAAATGACCAATGACAATATACAACAATGAATGAACACTAACGCACTGTTTAAAAATACAGTCTCATTGCCTCCGTCGGGGAACTGGGAGGGAATCTTGTCAAGATTTATTTTGATTTATAAACACAGCCATATCTATATAGTCAGTTTTCAAATGCATCCTGACGTTTGGTGTACCTTTCCTTTACATGGCCAAATGACTTTGTACCTTCACACAGTCACTTGACGATATGCAAATATTCACCTAGAAGGTGAATACATCTGCTGTCAATCAGCAAGGAATACCAGTAAGCATACTCAAGAAAATTCATGCGTTCATGGTAAAGCTTAGATTCTATGCCTATTTTGGCAATTCTGTAGGAATACCATCATGCAGATGGACAAGGAAGGGTTTGCAGCCCTGAGAATAAACCCAGTCTTCCAGCAAGCGATTCACCTTCTGGGCCAACCAACATTCTAGATAAAAAGAGTTTCTTTTCCTTTGACAAGCAATTGTTGCAGATATAGAACATATCTACTTGCAAAAATATGCTTAGTCAGCAATTTTGGAAATGACTGCTTTTTTTTCTTCCAGAAAGGCTAAGTTTCAAGATGGGGATTTTCTGAGTTCGCTTACAAGTAAATTTGCACAGACTAACTAGTTCGACACCTTGTGCCTTTCTAATATTACGCCAAGCCATTTTGACAAGCATTGCTTTATCTATCCACTTTTTTCAAGTCAATAGTACTCGTGGGTTATGTTTCGCCAAGTTTTCAATCAGATTTTGACATATGTTTGTAATGCAATGAATATTGTCAGTTTCAACTGAAGCATGGGATTGACCCACTACCCTCCTCAGCCCCCCCCCCCCCCATGATTGTCAAACAAAATATAACACTCCTGAAAATGGTCACAGGGCCACAACTTCAGACATTTTTCAACATTTTCTGCAAAACTGGGCACTTCTTATTCAATGTTTGTGGGTCATCGCCCTCATTCATAGTGTCTGTATCATTCCTGACTAGGTGACCACTCTCATCTCCCCCTGAACCCGCCACCATCCCAGGTGGCCATGACACTCCCAGCATGCCGTTGGCCATCTGACCAATGGGCACATGTGGCTGTAAAGGGTTTGATGCGGAGCTCAAATCTGGCTGACCGATCGTAGCACTAGATACTGTTACACTGACACCTTGTTCTGTAGCCTCTGCCTGTCTGGAGGCCTTGGGACCCGAGGCCCCTTCTACAGATGAGGAGTCTGGTGGGCGTTTCAGGCCAGAGTTCATGGGTGGCAAGTTGGGAGTGTCGGAAGCGACACCGCTTTTCAAACTAAAATGCTGCAACGTAGGTGATGTAGGTTCTTCAGAGGAACTGTCACGCTGCACATTTCGAGCTCCTTCGTCATCCATGGCTTCGTTACTCCTAGCAATTGCGTAAAGTTCAGCTTCATTTCGGACAATCCACTGATTCTTGGCAACAGATATGATTTCAACCTCCTTATCACCAAAGAGGAGGAAATTTTTCTCGTACTTGGGTTTTGAGGTCTGGCTGGCCTCTTCGGGGACTTTTTCAAAAGTTTTCACTTTTTCTGAGGATTTCGGTTTATCAACAACTTTTTCGGGCAAGTTTTCCACAACCTTTTCGATAACTTTGTCAGCTACTTTTTCTTTCATAATTTTCTCTACTTTCTTTTCTTTGGTTTTCAACACTTCAGGACACCTCAAGTCTTTATGAGCTGCCGATAAATCTAATGGAGCACCTGCGGAGCCGTCACCTGGGATACTTTCAATCGATGTTGCAACTGCAGTTGGTGTCCCAGGCATTCGCCAGCCAGCAGCTGCAGCTGCTGCCGCTGCTGGGAAGGGAAAGTAACCCATCATCACATTAGGTGGTGATACTGTCGGGAAGCGAGTAACTGGAGCTGCCATTGCTCCCGTTCCAAGACCGCGGTCAGGGAGATTGTAGTCATAAAGCACTGAACCGAACTTGTCATACTGAACTGCAGAGTAAGCACTCACCATTGTGCCATTGGATGGGACTCGGGGCAGGGTGGGTGTTCTGGTGGTGTTCGGACGACTGGGATGAGAAGGATCAGATTTCTTTTCATGAGATTTGGGACGTCCATTTGGACTTGCAGAAGTCTTTCTGGGAGATGTCTTTGGTGAGAGCCTAGAAGCTGGAGGAACAATTCCAGCACTTGAGACAGCAGCAGCTAAAGGAGACATATCAGAACCTGGAGAGATAGCAGCCAGGTCACTGGTTCGGGACAAGCTCATCAAAGTTTCGGCAATGTTAGCAGGACTTAGGCTTGAGGAATTGGGAGTTGCTGATCCAGATGTTATCTCCTCCTTGATCTTCTCAACAGATGTCTCCTCATCCTTGACTTCCTCCTTGTTGTTGGACACCAGCCCAGCCTGAACTTGAGCAAGTTTGGAGATAATGGCCTGAAGACTTGGCTGGCTCTCCAGCTTGCCCTTTCCGCTTCGAGAAGCATCTGCTGGTTTGACTGCTGTGTCTGGGGCTTCTGATACCTCTTCCACTGCACTTGGTGGAGTTTCTGAACATGCCTTGTTCTTCTCTGGAGACACCTCTTTCACCTTCTGAGACATATTTGATGCTGAGGGGCCATTACTAGATGCAACGGAGGCGACGGTAGGGGAGACTTGTGATCTGGGAGTTGTCTCCCCTTGGTGACTGTCGTCTGTGGCTGTCAAGGAGGTCGTAGGAGAACAGGTCTTCTCTGGTGACAGGAAAGTTGAGACTGACTGACGTCCTGGACTCTCGCTCTTCACATCCTTTGAGGTGATGGCAGCCGGGGGGAAGCTGCTTGTGGAGGCTATACCCGGCATCTGGACCATCAGCCGCTGCATGGTCTCTGTGTCAACCGAGATGTCTTCTCCGAGAGACGTCTGAAACCGAGGCAAGTAAATCATCTGTCATTGTAACACAAAATATTGTTTGTTTGTCGCTTTACATCATAGCTTGCAATATTCTAGTTATTTCATGGCTTCTTGCAAAGAATCGATTCTCGGCCAGGAAACAATTGGAATCAACAGACTCACAAAGGGAAGTTACAAAAAAAGGATATTCGTAAGCTCAAATTGATGTAGGTTTATACTTTTACCATCCAGGCATGGGTTTGGTGCTGCCAAACAAAAAAACAATCAGGGTTTATCTTGGATCGAACCCATGATCATAAGTTTCATGCACTCTTATCCTTATGTTTGTCAGTTGGAACAAGGGCTGGGAGGAGTCCAAATTTACTACCTTTGGGACTCGACCCCATTTACGGGGACCCAACCCACTGTAGGTCTCAAGTCATGGGTACAAAATGTCTAATTTAGTATTGTTTTACCTGAGCTCTGGCAAAAACTATTTAGATATATGTATAAACAATCTGGACATGCATGAAGTTGACTGAAGCTTAATCTTTACTCAAAAATGGAATGAATGACTGAAGAATTAGAAAGAAGTACAAACATTGTCATGTAACCATCAAGTTACGGTGCATTTCTGTCATTAGACAATATATCATGTGACAAATGGAGGTTCCTGGTCGTCCTGTGGGTACCCGGGTCCTTTTCAGGACCCATCCATCCCAAGTACTGGAGTTACCCGTCCCAGCCTTAATAACTACTCACATCTCCATCATCATAGTTGTCGTAGCCTCGCCGGTGGAGGATGGCCTTATCGCGGATGATGCGGTTGATGGAGCTAATGCTAGGAATGTTTTTCTCGGTACAGATCCCATCAGCAATCAGTCTGGAAAGACATATGTCAGACAGAAGTTGTTAAGTTGTTCGTTTCTTTGGTCATTCACAAATGGGTGAGTTGGATTTAAGGACACCATAAATGAACCCATTTGGGGGATCGAACCTGGAAATTCAGCGCGACAGGGTGTAAGTGAGTGAGTGAGTGAGTGAGTGAGTGAGTGAGTGAGTGAGTGAGTGAGTGAGTGAGTGAGTGAGTGAGTGAGTGAGTGAGTGTTTTGTCAGCAATATTCCAGCTATAACATGGTCACACATAAATAATCACATCTTGATCAGGCAAACTTGTGACTAGAACATGAAGAAAGATCCACACTGACGGATGATGACATGCAATCAGCCAAGTCACAGGGCCTAGCCACCTGATCTGCCAGGTTCATCAGCCAGGTTCCTTAGGAGGATGCAGAGGTGAGGTGAGGTGAGGTGAGGTGAGGTGAGGTGAGGTGAGGTGAGGGGTTTCACGTTGCATCCAAGATTATTGCATTTATATAGCGACGTGTATGTACGTGTGTGTGTTTTTATGGCTGCTAGCTCACTGAGATACCATGCTGCAGTTTAACGTAAATACCCCACTCAGACAAAAGTATCCTGGCTACAATACATGTATACATATATACATATTTACCAATATTACATACATCTATACATATTTATTAAGATTTTGTAGTGTGGTTCTCGGCATAAACAGGAACTTTTGGCTATGGTGTAACAGAGGTAGGGTAATCGAAAGAATAATACATTTTATACAATAGTATTACAATACATACATTATTCACTGGATGTTAGTGGTGAATAGTTGCACTTTTTGGATCACAAGAATCAGTTGCTAATTTCTGGATTTAATATTTTCATTTTTCATGTAAATTTTGCCAACAAGATAAAAATATGCATGATTTTGAAAAAGGCAACCATTACTTTCCCAATGTATTGTGACACGTATTCATTAGTATTTCAAATCGTGGCATTCTGGTGATGGACTCACTTTTGTCGTATTTCCCAGGCAAACATTTGTGGGTTCTCTGCCTTGTACTGGCGCACTCGACTCACAACATCCGGCGTTGTCACTTTGGGTTTGCTGCCACCAATCTGTCCAGGGTTGATGCTTCCGGTCTTTCGATATCTGAAAAACCATTGCAATAAATGAAGTGGTGAACTATCCCTTCCACAATTTCCCAATTCTATATCTCATCACACAGTTTTTCTGGGCCAAAAATGATCAGCTGAGTGTGTTTCCATTTCTGCCCAAAATTCTTGTATAGTGCCTTATGATTTGAAGCCATGTCTGTCTACACAATCACCGGATATGGGTCTCTAAACTTACTAGAAATGAAGTCAACAGTTCATTGAACAAACAGACAATGAATCGATCTATGGACATGAAATGTAGTTCCTTCTCAGCGACCTCATTTGCATATTTATTGAGTGAGTGAGTTTGGTTTTACGCCGCTTTTAGCAATATTCCAGCAATATCACCAGAAATAAGCTTCACACATTGTACCCATGTCGGAACCCGGGTCTTCGGTGTGAGGAGCGAATGCTTTAACCACTAGGCTACCCGATCGCAATTGCATATAAATTGGATCTTGTTACCAAGTTTATCAGATTGGTTTACCACATTGAAAACAATATTACACGATAAAAATAATAAAAAATTAAAATGTGTTTGATTGAAAATAGGCTTTCCTAAAAACTAATTTTCATTGTACTATTGTCATAAAGTTTTAAAAAATAGTTTGCAAAATAACCTTCTATCAACTCTGACATATTACATTTTCCATTATTTTGTCTCTGGTATGTTGGCATCAAGAAACTCTGTAAAACAACAAATTAATTGGCCCGGCTTGAGTTGAAAACGTAACACAACCAGTATTCAGGTAATGAATTTACAGACTTTGTCAAACTCTTCATTTTCAGTTTGAAAAAAGTCAAGTCTACTCCCAACGAGACAAACGAAGTTGCCAGACATCAAATACTATTAAGATGGTGTATGTGACAATAGCAATGGTGCTGTGAAATGCGAAATATTTCAGTCACGCTTCATGTTCCCGAAAAGCCTCCCCTATCTCCTGTCTAGACATTTTATTCTCTCCTTTATCAATGATTAACACAAAAGCAAGGGACGTAATGTATTACATCACGGCATTCCCGCACTGATGCCCTTCTATACATAGCTAAGTTGTCAATCATGTATGTGGGAAGGTGATGGGGGAACCACAAAGAGTTATCTCCCTTGAACCAGCCCCAACATCAAGGAAGACGCCATTGGTCATATCCAACTGGTCCACAAGTCATCAGGGCTAATTGTTTATGTAACATAAATAGATTTGGGGAGAAAACCACTAGTCCCTAGAGATTTTCACTAGTCTTGGACAAACAGACTAGTAGTTGTGTCTAATTCTGACCATGACCAGAAACATTCAGGTTGTAGCACTCTTTCTGTACAGTTTAACCTCATTAACATCACATATATGTCCACATATCACCTAAAGGGGGATTATGCTCGAGTCAGTTCACAGTCCTAGCAAGTTTGAATCAGGTCACGCAAACAACTATCAACTTGCCTGCAAACTCAATCTAGATTATTCAACCAGGAGAGGTGAAATGGGGTTAAACACCTCGTCCAAGATTATTGCACTTACATACACCATGTGTGCGTATGCGTGTACGTGCGTGCGCGCGTGTGCGCTACTCCGGCCTTATGCTGATTTTATAGTGCTAGCCCACTGAGATACCATGCCGAAGTTTAACATGAATACTCCACTCAAACACGGTCCAATTTATCTACCAATAAATGACTGCACTCATTACATAGAAACATAGTTTCCATATTACACAAGACAAGAGTTACAGCATTTGTTAGTTTGTTCAGCTGTACTCCAGCTATATGATAGCAGTCTGCACCAGACAATCCATTCATTGACATCATGTGCATCAATCAACGCAAGTGAGATACTATGACATACATCAACAAGTCAGGAAGCCTGAGCACCCAATCCCGTTAGTGGCATCTTACGATAGGTATCCCCCCAATTTTTTACCCAGTGTCCCCATCACTAACAACAATATAGACCAATCAATGAACATACCAGATTCTGTCCCCCTGATATAAATATTGCATAAAAATACATGTTTTTTCAGTCAATGCTAACTGACAGACATCTAGCACCAAGAATATTGAGTCAGTGTGGAGATTTTTAAACTTATACAGGTGAGACAATCGAAATCCTGTCCACTCACCTATCCAACTGCCCCTAAGCAGTTTAAAAAAACATAACACATTGTCTTAACTTGTCAATACAAATCTTTTCTTCTTTTGGTAAACTCGTTTCCTAACAACTACACACAATGCATAATCATTTCAAACACAATACATTGATCTGAAAAATATACTGAATGCATACAAATTCTGTCAGCATTCAGGATCAGATATTTTCTTAAAAAGCTATTTGAGGCTCAACTCTAATTGAGTATTGAATTTGAAAAATAATTCAATTTTACTTTTTTACAAGTTAACATCAATATGATGAGGGGACAACACATTTTCCCCGTAATGATATTCCACTTTCGTTTGATAACAGAACAATAGCTCCGCACTGACAATACGGGTTTCCTATCCCACTAATACCTAAATCCTGTTGCTAATTCCACAACTAATAAGCCAATTTGTCTCTGACTTGACATGACTAGAGCATGCTGGGAAGGTGCCTTGGGGGCTGGAGCCTGCAATAGCTTCACGCTAGTTGAACTCTGGTTTGACCTCACAATGACCTGGGTTACAGTAAGAGGTGGTGTGTGGGACCATGGCGAGATTAGATAAACAGTTTATCACTATTGTAAACCTGACCTGCATCGTTACAGCCCATGCAACACATGCTAATCGGTGTCAAATTTCAACCGCTGTCTGGTTGCTTCTTGCAATTTTCTAGCTGATGAAAAATATATTTGAGAATTGTGAAGTATCATGTGATCAGATCTATTTTGGTAAATATCGTTTTGAATGTGATACACACACACCAAAAATGTATATATTTTTCAAATATTGTTTTATTGATTATATTGAACTAAATACAAAAACAAAAGACGAGGAGTGACACTGACTTAACATAAGCCATAAAAAGTAATATGTTACTGGCAGTTACCAGAACAAGCAGACATCTCTCATGATCCCAACAGATTCAATTTAACTTCAAATTTGAACTTATTGTTTTTGTGTAGCCATAATGAAATCCCATGAGATGGAAGTTACCATTATCAATAACAATCTTCTGTTTAACCTCTAAATTAAACTCCAAATAAGTCTCATAATCTCAAACATGCTCAAATATTGATGAAACGCTTTGGCTACCTTATTTTAGTATAATGAAAGACAATGAAATCATAAATGCACCTAAAATGTGTTTTTCAAATACCAAGGGGAAAAAACCAAAAATCTTCAGAAACAAATGCCTGTCTGCCTTGTAGACTTACATTTAGTCTTTGAAAATTTATATTACACAATTCTCTTCTCACCTCTAAAATTAAAACAAATAATTTTCCTGATGCTGATTGATGTGGAACAGAGCTAGCTAGAGCTGGCTAGACTTGTTTTTGTAAACTAGATTGTTGTTTTTTATAAAATAAATATATTCCACAGTCATGGTGCAGGACTATCTGTCTTGCTGCATTGAGCAAAATCAAAATGCTTGAGAAATGCAATGTTTTTACTGACTGATGATTGATAAATATTTTTCCTGAAACTAATACCATATTTCCAAGCTGTTCACCTGCGAATGTCAGACTCACCGATTTAGAATTTTGCTGACACAGCCATGGGACACTTGCAACTGGCGACTTATCTCGCAGGGACGAATCCCCTGCAGTGCCAGTTGAAGGATCTGAACGCGAAGATGGTCGGGCAGGGGACGGCCATTTGTAAATTCGCGGCCATATTGGTTCACGTTGCGACCACCTGCATCAAACATGGATTTCCCTTCTAAATCACATGAAAAAGGAAACAAGAATTATCATACTGTATAAAAAAAACATGTTCATCAAATTTGTCAGTGCATGTGGTGATAAATGACTACATATCTAAAAATTTCTACACTTTTGTGAACATGAATACATGACAAAAAAATCACATGTGTTATGACACACAGCAATATTGCAAGCAATACAGTGCTATCTAACAATAAACAATAAACATGTGACACATAATTGGCAATGGTTTCAATTAAGCATGCAATAAAATGTTAATGCACAGGATTATGTCATCAATTTGCACAAGAATCACAAGCGAATCCAACTGAGGCCACAACAAATTAAGTGAGTGAGTTGGGTTTTATGCCACTCTGAGCAATATACCAGCTTTATCACGGTGGGTGACAACAACATTGTACCCACGTGGGGAATCAAACCCGCACTTCGCGTGATGAGCGAAAGCCTTAACCAGTAGACTACCTCACCGCCCCTACAACAAATAAGATCCCCTTTTCCTCAGATAACATGTTGAGATTCTCCCAATAGGTTCTTTTCTATATGTGTATATCTTAATATATAATTCAAAAGTGTTATCAAGTCAAAATAAAGTACATTGAAAGGTCTTCAACAAGCTTAACCCTAGGAAATGGTTAACACATCCTATATGAAAATCAACATGTTGCGGTTTAAGTAAGATTACAGTGTAATCTGATACACCACAGTCATGGAATCAGAATAATAACCCAAATTCCTTTTATCCTTGACTTAGAGGTGATAGAAAGCAAATTTCCACTTTCTTTGCATCTATATTTCCATAGGATTCAGACATCTTAGCCCTCTTTTAGGATATGGATGAATGCACAATCATCCCTCACCCTAACACACCCACAAGAATATCAACTAGTAAGCTCTAAGTTTGCATTAGTAATTGAAAACAGACATTTACGGAAACAGGCTGTGTCGACTCGTGTGTGTCGCCCTTGGGAACATGTGCCCCTGATGGAGGGCACTCACTGAAAGTTGGCGATAGAATATTCCCATACATTCCTGACATCAACATGGTGTCGTCCATCTAACAATATGTGTTGTATCAACGTGTTACACTATGAAGCATAAACAAACCTATATTGCTAATATATCATTGTTTTGGAAAACTGTATTTGTCCTATTAAGCACCCTCCCCAAATAAGCTGCCCCTGACCAACAGTCAAACCAAATTGCATGTAATAATTATAAGTACCCCTAATAAGACCAAAAATTTCCATGACAGTCCTTATGTTCTTTTGTATATGACAAAATTAGCAAATCAAAGGGGTGTATAACTGCCTGGTAACTATTTCCAACATGTTTTAGTTTCATCTGTGTTTGACTGACTGACTGAGTATGGTTTTACGCCGCTTTTAGCAATATTCCAGCAATGGGCTTCACACATTGTACCCATGTCGGGAATCGAACCTGGGTCTTCGGCATGGCGAGCGAACGCTTTAACCACTAGGCAACCCGCCCACCCCCATTTGTGTTTGACTGACTGACTGAGTATGGTCTTACGCCGCTTTTAGCAATATTCCAGCAATATCACGGCGGGGGACACCAGAAATGGGCTTCACACATTGTACCCATGTCGGGAATCGAATCCGGGTCTTCGGCATGACTAGCGAACGCTTTAACCACTAGGCTACCCGACCACCCCTAATCTGTGTTTGAACCAAGTCCGTTCACAACTGCTTGACCACTGAAACTCTGTGTTTAAGTTTAATAAGCGCCCCCCTTTGTCAATTTTCTCAGCACCGGGTTGCATATTACAGTGAATATGGTATATACAAAGATGCTTAGGGCCGAAATAATCACTTGTGATTCAGAAAACAAAGATTCAATAGGTATGAATTGGCAAGCATAGATGGCTTGTGATGATTCTTTTAGGTCAAAGCTATGGCAACAATAATATGGGGAAACATCAACAACAAAAAATTGAATGCAAAACAATGGCTTGATTTTTTGTTGGCTGTTTCCAGCTGTGATAAAAAAAAGCATTTGGGTCGCAAGTGAAACAATGGGTTGGTTGGGTTACCTGAAACACAAGTATTTATTTGTTTGCCCCATATTTGTGATGATTACTGAATAATAACAAGTTTATTAACACCACCCAAAATATGTTGAGTAACGTTTTGTCCAAAGGACAGGCAGATTCAAAAGGATAAGAAATGAATTTGTTGTGACCTCATCAAACATATTTTCAGTCATCAATATTTAAACTACTCAAGAGAAGCTACAGAACACCTGATTCTTTCATGTAACTGTTGTTACTCAGTCATTCTTTAACTTCTTTTGAATAGTATATGTTACATTAGTGTGTGAGCGAGATAAAAATTCACATCATATCGACAATGTTTCAGCCACATAGCAATGAAGTACTTCATCAACTTCAAACAGAAACAGACAAGTTTTTCATCATAACAACAGTCCGGGAAAAGAAAATATGAATGTTAAATATGGTTTCCGAAACATTGTGACAGTTTCTATCTAAGAAGTAATGTATCCAACGTTCAGAAACACTATTGTTTCAGCCGATTTTGTCGAACATCCCAATTAATCCACAGAGATAGCAAGAGCAAGAGAGTATAGAGAGTAGAGAGTAGAGAGTAGAAAGTAGAGAGAGAGAGAGAGAGAGAGAGAGAGAGAGAGAGAGAGAGAGAGAGAGAGAGAGAGAGAGAGAGAGAGAGCGTGCGCGTTGGCTTGTTTGTTTGTTTCCCCACAACTCTGCACAGCAAGCTTCAGGTCACTCACTGACACCAACACAGTGAGAAAGTGAGTGAGGATAGTTTTACGCTGAAAAAGCAATACTTCAGTAATACTATTGTGCAGGATACCTTGACATATTGAACCCATGTGTGGAATAGAACCCAGGCCTTAAGCACCATGAGCGACTCTTCAACCACTACGCTATGCTAAAAATGACTTTCCCTATCTGAACGTTGGACACATTTGTCTATCTAATCTCACACAGTTACTAAGAATTAACTTTATTCTACCCCTACATTAGTTTTTTTTTAGTCACAGTCAGCAATATTCCAGCTATACTGGGATGGCCATGGTTTGGACCAGGCAAACCAGTGGCCATTGCAACAGCAAGAGCAATGCCCCACAATCAGCTGATGGCACATTGTGTCCAACGATCAAATCATGCGTACGCTGAAGTTGATTGAAGCTTAAATTTCTCTTTCCTCAAACAATTACAAGTCAAAAGGAATGTGTGCATCATCATAAAGAAATGGGAACATTAGCGACTTGTAGAGTAACCACTGAGTTATAGTAAGTTTTTGTCATTAAACAATATGTCACGTGATTAACCACGGGTCCGGGTAGTACTGTGGGTACCCGGGTCCTACTTAGGACCCACCCGACCCGAGTACCCAAGTTACCCGTCCCAGCCCTACAAGACACAAAGATTGCACACACCTGAATGTCGGATTCTCCCATCACCTTTCTTCTTCATCATATCTTCCAGTTCTTCATCAGTAAATAGGTTATCATCAAATTCCATGCTATCGTCAGATGCCGTATCTGCAGTTGTCTCCCCTGTCTCTGTCGTGCTCTTCCCCCTGGGGCGCTCCCGTTCGGGAAACGCCATCCCGCCCAACTGGTTCGCCTCGTCCGCTTGTTCTGCTAGTCTTGCTGTCACATCAACAGCATTCAACATCTGCTGATGCTGTTGCAGCAACATCGTCTGTTGCAGGAAGTGTAGATAGGGCTGTGGAATCACCAATGGAGTCCCTGGAACAATTTGCCCGCTTCCATTCTGCTGAATCATCGATGCTGATATTTCTTTGGATTTCTCTGCATCGACATCAGGTGATTTTAATTCTTTTGGCGAATTGATACGACTGCTGTTACCTGAATTATCTGGTGAAACTGTTTCAACGACGCCAACTTGGTTCACAATAGGCGCATTCCCCTCATCATTGCTCTCTCCATTCCCCTTCTCCATGAGAGAGTTACCTCCCTTTTCATGACTCTCCTGTATCTCAAGTTCCTGTTTAATCTGCATTGTTTGTGCTTCTGCCGGCATAGTCCATCACCATAGCATAGCCTGGGTGTATAATGGCTGCCACGTCACATTGTAATCTCTTGACTCACAAACAATGCATTTTGTCGCTCACATGGACGTGAAAAGTGAAGACATTTGATTGCGTTCCACGTCTGAAAAAAAGAAAGAGATGAAACATAAATTTCACATAAAAATTCAAATTGAGCAAAATTCACTAAAAAGAAAATCAGACAATTATCTTCATGAACGGAAAAACTACAATATTTTTAAAACAAAGATTTACAAACCGAATAAATAATCTTGATAAAATAAAACAATTGTAACCTGACTTTACCATGTATACTACTCAAATAATACAAAACGCTACTCCTCAATAATAATTTAACGAACTGAAGTTGAGACTGTTTTCCAAAACAACTTTACTTGTCTCAGCGAAGATATTCATACAGCTATTGTTCAAGTGGCCCTAGAATGAAGGTTATCCATCTTTTATCATACACATATAGATATTGTTCCGTGAAATAATGCACTTGTTTCTCACTCACTCGTCTAATGAAGCAAGTCTCACACATGATTGATGATTTCTTATTCAGAAACAACCAGTATTCACTCAAACATATGTGAAAATAACATTTTTCACAGATTCATTAACAGTAAGAAAAATCAATGCATATGTCTGTGTGGATGAACAATTGAAAGTGTCGTGATGAAATTGGAACCGTCGATTTCTCACAGAAGGACATAACATAAAAGCTACCAGAATGTCAGGGAAAATCCATGAGCCAATAAATGATGCAGAACGTAGCCGAGCTACTTTTGTCAGTCAACGTGGGTAACGGTATCGACAGGGAATTCCATCATGTATGTCAAACAGAAGTATGATTAACTCTCGCCTCAGAGTTCGACATAACATGCTTAGTGAAAATTTACCACTTTGCCTTAAAACACCCAAACCGAATGAAACGCAACAGGGGTGCTCTACTTTAGACCATGACAAACACCCAGCTTGTCAAACACCCGATTTTAATGCCAAGCCTTTTCTTTCCACCCATCCAAGCTTGAAACAGAACAAAACCCATGCCAAGCTCATAATATCACAGGCCATTTCATTGCAAACACTCGAGTCCTTCATGAAATGCTTATTACTGAAAAGACTCGGTTCCGGCTTGGTACACTCAACATTATCAAAAGCCTACGCAACGTGCAGAAACTGAAAAGAAAGACGAGGGCTGAAACCATGCAGATGGGGTCTATGCTCTCAAGGCGTAACATAACACCATACCCCTTCCTTCTCTTCGTCACGGTCACCAATCACCAATGCCTCCACTTCATAATGCGCTATTGAACAAGCTCAGTAAGCGCTTCACGGCTGTGCTCAATGAAATTGGATCAAAGGCGGCCATATTTATTTACCTGCACTGCGTGACAGTGCTCAGCACTAGTGCGTGGCCAGGCCATGGAAGCTGAATTCAATACAGGTCAATGCAAAAATGTATCTGGCGACAGCATTCCTCAACCTTCAGACAAACAAACTACATCGATGTCGACACTACTGCCCCAGTGTGGCCTCACTGCCAGACAATAATTAAAACCAAATACATGTATGTACTATTGATGAACTCTGAATATGCTTCTCAGTCCATGATTGTGACACCCAGGTTGGTTCCATCAAGTAGCTTGTCTCAGCAGCTGGGTTTGAATATAAAGTTGACAGAAATAGTTTTGAATGGACTGAAATGAATGACTAACAATATTGTTTTTACAACAAAATATTCTGTCAGCGTGCTCGTCAAGGACATCAGAATATGCAATGTTACATGTAACAAAAGTTACATGGTACAAGCAACAGGCCTTAAAACCCTGTCTTTTATCAGGTTTTAATGTTACATACTTTCTCATCAACTTGATATTTATTGAAATAAATTTCTTGGTCAGAAACTGAAACCCACAAATCATCAATATAATAGACTAATCCAAATGACACTGATAATGAAACCAATTTATAATTTCCCCACTAAACATTTCTTGCTAAATACTACTAATAAAATTAAAACATTCCCTGAAACAATGAGCTGGTGATATGCATCTGTTGAAAGTGTAAGACCAACTTGGGCAGTGGGGTAGTTTTGTGGTTAAAACATTCTTTTTATCCCATGGCTCACACAAAAGTCAAATATCAACCCCACAGAATTTAAGGCCCTACTAAAGCCATTGATCAAGGTTGAACTAAGACATAAAGCTGCTGTCAAAACAAATTACAAAAACATTCTTACTTAATTTCTTTGTCAGAATGTAGAGCTCCACATGTACATCCGAGTACTCTAACATAATACAATCAATTCCACACAAGTGTTTCAAATTGAAACTGCTCTCTGTGACGGCGATAGTCAATTTTTTTTATGGTCAATAATTAAGAACAGATGAAAAAAGTATTCAAATAACTATTGCTATCAAAGATATTTTAGTATTTGTGATTATATTATCTATCTTGTTTTTAAATAATCTTTAGTTATTTAAAAAAACTTTTATTCCGTGAGGTCACATGATAACCAAATATGGGATAATAGTTTCGATCCAAATGTTACAACGCGTACACTTGAGCAGACTCATGAATATTAATTAGACCATTCACTACGTTAACAGATCGTTATTATAACAGAAACAAACGTATGTTTTCCATGTATATCTAAAATGATATTATTTGTTATTAATTGTCCGGTGAATTAAACAATTTAAATTAAAACAATTCATAATTGGTTATATTATGAATACGTAACAACTTGTAATGTGTGTGAAAAGTTGTACTAAAATATGCTATTTGAAGGGGGCGTGGCCTAAATGCAAATGTCCGATTGGGATTTTATATTTTCCGGATCCCTGGTTTCAATATTAATTATCATTCAAGTTAGAGACTATTCATTTGACATTTTTAGAGAAAAACATCATTGTAATAAATTCATTAACAGCAGAGTTAACAATGGCCGGCAAATTCGAGGTTTTTCAAAGGCAGATTCATATTTAAGGTGTTTAAAAGGCCAGCCAGCCAAATCAAGGTTTTTCAAGACAGCAAAACTTGAACACTGAAGACATGGGGCATGCAGGAAGATTATCTTGGTGTCATTCATAACAATATGTCTGAAGGTTTGTAAAACCATTCTAAAGACAAGGTCTCTTCATTGGTGGTTTGATTAACATGATTGATACTGAAATATAAATATTTTACTAAATAACATCACAGTGTCTTGTTCAGACTTTTTTATGCACTGAAGTGTCTGTTTATAGACAAGAAATAATTATGAGAGGAATTTATTAAGGATTCCAAACTGAGTTCCCTTGGATAGCAAATTGGGGAAATTTGTTGTAGTTCTTATTTTTTAACTTCAGGGGTGCCTTCAACACAATAATCATAAAAATGTAAAACATAGCATTAAAGTCACTTCCTCTTTATTGTCATGCCACTAGGAGTTTGTACTGACATTTGCTGCAGACTTTGGGCCAAATATTGCACTCTGAGCAGGCCTCCATAAATCTCTGCTGGTTTTGTTTTCTCAATACAAGTAAACCATGCATCCTAAAAGGTCCTTCTCAGTCATCAACTTTCAAATGTTCAACATTTCACAAAAATAGTTCCACGTCATCAGTCGAACAGTAAACAATTCTCTAATGTCTCACCATCATCAACCAAAGAAAGGCAATCTGTCAAATATTCTGATCAAGACCATTATGCTAATTGCACTTGAGCATTGTGTGTGATTCAGTGTCAGTGACATCGCAACGCTGCATCCTTTTCGCACCAATCATAATCTAATGAAGGTTAATGCTTTCTCTGCTTAACGATTTCCTCAACATTTTTACGCGTTTAAGCCACAGTGAATCTGCCCGGAGATTACCGATGCAGGTAATGCTACCTACCTAATGACAAACTCTCCAAGCCAGTTTATTGATTTTAAGATGTCGCTGAATGCTTGGCCAGAACACAACCTAGTACTACCTGTTCACATATTATGCACAGAGGAATACAGACGATGACATTTATAATAGTAAATGTCCAGACGTAAGCTGATAGCTTAAGAAAGTAATGACTGTACTACGATACAGCAATACCATGATGCGTCAACAAGGGAGATAACTGTTTCCACAAATATATACATGAAATTTTATTTTCAGACAATTTTCAATGAGTAATTCCAATATACATGAACTGTGAAATTTATATTCAACAATTAAAATTCTACAAGCTATGGCTGTAAATTTGATGTAGAAAATCGTCATGTACTTACAATTCAAATTGTGATAAACCGCATGGTGACTCAGCTGAGAGATTAACCCACAGGTTGCAATCTCTGCACGCCCCAAAGAACCATAAACCTATCCTAGATTCTACATACTTCCTTTGACAATGGCAGAAAATCGCACAATCGCTCAAGTGTGAATGGACAGGGATGTGCGATTCCCCCATTTGTTTTGGCCCACAAGACAAACAAAGCTTTTTCTTGTTTCCACGTAAACGAAAATACACTGAGCAAGGCATCCTCTGTTGAACGACTGTGCAAACAGACTTGTTTTAACATAGACTGAGTTCGCAGTTTCACTTCGCTGACCCCGAAAAGACTCTGCTTCCTAACGGACGAAATAATTGATCGGCCCACCACAGAAACGCAATATTTGTCGCACCTGAACAATGCTCGTCACCTTTTTTGTAATCACCAGCATAGCATATTTTCCAATTGTCTTTATCTATAAAACATCCAGATGGATTCTTGTTTTATGTCTCTCTATTGATTTCCGACACCTTCGACAGTTGCTATTGTCTGACCACCAGGTACACACAATGCAGGCTGTGTCTTGCTATGACTCCTGTGCAATTTTTAAAATGATTCACGTCTCCCTATTTGACCATGAGCAACCGATAATGTTTTAACATGAATCCTGGGGAGGTTCTTGAGGCTTTGTCTGCTCTTAAAGTCAATTACGAAATGAATATCAAATATTAACAAGAAAAGAATTCACAACCAAACACTAATGCATCCAAAGCTAAGGAAACAACAGCGTTAATTACACTTGAGACGATAAACACAATAGTTTCTAAACTGTACAGAGTATTTTGATTTTCTTTCATGTATTGCTTTGACGGGAATAAAAACATTCAAAT